GCCAGGATGTGTGGTGAAGGAAGGGGGTACCCTATGAATGTGCTCATTCCCAAAACAGGTCTGGCTGGGCACTGGACTCCTGGGTCATGGGGGGGGGGGGGGGGGGGTGGAGGGGAAGGCAAGTCTAGTATGAAGAAATCAGTGGCCTTTTCTAGGAGACTAAGGGGTGGGGAGGGGTGAATAGAAGGGAGGGACAAGGAGACTCACTGGATCCCCTTATTTTGGGCTATATTCCCAGCTCTTACCAACCCCTTCCACCTCTTCCCATTGGCCTGCAGTGTAATGAAGTAATGGGCCTGTTGGAAGGAGGTTATCCCAGGAAGTGTACAAGGAAGCCAGGTAGGGGAAGGTCCGAGAGGGAGGTGAGAGAGAGTGAAGAAAAACCCTAGCCTGTCCTTTTCTCCCAGGGCTCCCATAGTTCCCTGGGCCATGGGTCACTCACAGTTCCTGGCAGCAGAGGAGGGAAGAACGAGAGCCCCAGGGCTCTGTCCAGGGCAGGCTCAGGTGTGGCACCTCCCTGCCTGTTTGTCCAAGAAGTGGTAGCACAGGGTTGTAACTCTGTCCTGCCAGCGGCCAATGCCTGGGCAGTGGAGGCGGGCTCCAGTCCAGATTGAGCCCTGAGGTGCCCCACCTCTGGGGCTGGGGCAGAGAAGGTGGCCACACCTTGGGGGAGGGGCGCAGAGGCCACCTTGTGGCAGCATTGCTACCGAGCTTTTCTGAGGGAGCTTCAGGGCCTTCCCTAACCCTAATGCCATGTAAATTTGGGGGCATCTGCCCCACTGCAGCTTGTACTATTCTTGCAGAAGTGTGGCCAACCCTGAAGGCCACCTGGCTGAGACTAAGCTTGGTAGCCAGGGTGGGGTTTGAGGTCAATAAGTCTAGAATGGACTTGGCTGGATATAGCTTGGACACTCAGGCTGTGGGACATTTGACCAGACACTAAACTTCTCTAGGCATATTTTATTTTATATGCCTGTGCTGCATTCCAAGCTCAGTGTGCAGGCCTTAGTGAGGGCCCACAGCACTGTTTAGAGACATTGTGCCATTATATTGTATGTCCCCTATATCCAACCTGGTGACCAGTATATACAAAGTACTCCATAAGTGCTGCTTGAGTGACTGGTGAATAGCAAGACTATACAAAGACTATACTGTCATTGGTAGGGATTCCCCCCTCCTGTGGGGTCTCTGGCCTGCTGATACCCAGCTGATTGCTTTGCCCTTCCCTAGGACCCTGTGCCTGTGTCGTCTTTAAATGAGTGCTCCTGCATTCTGGGCCACACCTTTTTTCCAGAAATCCCATTCATCATCCTCAGCCTCTCCCTCACCAGCTTTATCTACCACTGAAACTCGGGGGAGCTTCTGTACTCCCTCCTCATTTCCTTCCTCCTGCTGTCAAGCCTCTCCCAGCTGTCTCCATATCTACTACCCTACCCTTGACCTACTGCCCTCTGCCCTCAGCTGGCCCTCTGGTGGCCACTTTAGATAAATATCCCAAGGCCTTTAAAAACAAAAGCCGGGCGCTGGTGGCTCACGCCTGTAATCCTAGCTACTCAGGAGGCTGAGATCTGAGGATCTCGGTTCAAAGCCAGCCCGGGCAGGAGAGACCGTGAGACTCCTATCTCCAATAAACCACCAGAAAACCAGAAGTGGTGCTGTAGCTCAAGTGGTAGAGCGCTCGCCTTGAGCTGAAGAGCTGAGGGACAGCGCCCAGGCCCAGAGTTCAAGCCCCACGACTGACCAAAAAAAAAAACAAAACAAAACTTGGCCTTTCCATTTATCTGCGCCTCTTTTGGGGTGTTGTATATTGGGCTTTGAGTATACTAAGCAAGTACTCTAACAACCGAGTCACACCCCCAAATCTTTTGGCTTTTTTTCTATTGTTGAGACAGAATCTCTACCTTTGTGCTCAGACTGGCCTCAAACTCAAGATTCTCCTGCCTCCACCTTCCAAATACTGGGATTACAGGTATGTACCAACATGCCTGGCACCATTATCCCCTCCCTTTCTTCTGGACATTTTCCTTGGCTTCTAATTAGCATGCTCCTGCTTTTCTTCCTTGTTCCCTGGCTGTTTCCTCTCTCTAGCTTTTGTTTTATTCCTTTGGCAAACTCTATCCCCAGGACTTTCCTGCTTTTTTCCTTTTTCTTTTTTGCTTATGTGGTGCTGAGGAATCGAACCCAGGGCCTCAGGTATGCAAGGCAAGTGCTCTACCACTGAGCCACCTTCCCAGCCCCCCGCCCCCCACCCCCGGACTTTCCTTTACCCCACTGCTCCTCATGTCCTCAGCAAACAAAACCATGTCTGCTGACTAGTGTGAGTGAGAAGCTAGCACTCAACTTGATAGCCCTGTCCTTCCCCCAGCCTAACAGTTCTCAGACCCTGAAGAAGGTCCCATCACCAGCCCTTGCCCAGGAGACAACAAAGGTCCTTGGCCATTCTTACAGCCCTGGCTACCGGGGCCTTTCCTCATGGCCCCTTCTTTCTTCACAACAAGTCTTCCAATAGCTACAGGATAAAGTCCAAATCCCTGACAAAGGCCCATGAAACCCTGTTTGAGGAGCAGATGCCGCTACCCCAAACCCACACTCCATCTCCGAGTGCTAGCCAGGCCCTATAGGTCTGGATGTATATAGTCCCCAGGTGTCCACACCTCCCCCTGCCCATGTTCTAGAGGACCCTCAGGGTAGCTCCATCGCAGATGGCCTACACCATGCTAGACAGAGGCATCTATTGCCTCCCACTGGCCTCCTGTCCCACAGAATGCACCTCTTAGGTTGGTAGCAATGCCTTACTCATCTCTAGATCTAAAGGCTCATCTGGAACCTGGCAGGCATTCCCTTAATTCATGCTTCATGAACATGTTAGTGGGGGAGAGGATGCACCACATCTGCATCCTCTGGGGAAAAGAGGCAGGCTCACCTTTCAGAAAATTCCTTCCCACAGACTGCCTGCCTGGAACAAGGAAGTGCACAGGTGGGGTTTCCTTCCCAGGGGGAGCACCAACTCCCTATCCCTGGAGTTTGTTCAGGATAGAGTATCAGGGAGAGCTATAACTGACCAGGAGTCAAGTGTGATCACAGGGAATGTGGTACTTATGCTATTACACTTAGCACATAGGAGGAAATGGGACCAGAGATGCTAAGTGAGTCCTTGAGGGTCACAAGTGGGATCAGGCAGCGGAGTCTCTGCCCACGGCTCAGGTCTCTAGCAGACACCCCGGTTTCTCATGTGAGTACAACCTCACCACAAACCTCTGCATCTGACAACATTCTGGGAGCGGCAGGAAGGAATGGGGCAAAGGTGACACTGAACAGAGGCTCTGGTGGCTGGAGGGGAGGGGTGTGATTTCTTTTCTCAGGAGATGCTAGGATCTTAGGGTAAAGGAAAAGTCTCCTTTTGGTCCAGAGGCTTAGAGTGGTAGCCCTTGGGCAAACCTGCTGAGCCCTGGCCATGAATTCATCCTTTGCTCTCTATCTCTGAGTTAGATGCAGTGAGTCAGCGTTAAGGCCATTCTCCACTTCAGGTGTGTGTGCATGGAGAGGAGGGACACACAGGGCACCATTACTAGGATCTATGCTGTGGAGAGAAATGGAGTGTGCCACTGGGAGCTTGCCCTACTGTGAGTGGTGGAGGACACTGAGAAATGGTCTTTTTTCTTTTTTGGTCATGGGGCTTGAACTCTGGGCCTGGGTGCTGTCCCTCAGCAATTCAACTCAAGGCTAGCACTCTACCACTTGAGCCACTGTGCCACTTCTGGTTTTCTGAGTGGCTTATTGGAGACAAGAGTCTCACGGACTTTTCTGCCCAGGCTGGCTTTGAACCGTGATCCTCAGATCTCAGCCTCCTGAGTAGCTAGGATTACAAGCATGAGCCACTGGTGCCTGGCTAGTCCTGGCATTCTGTCTCTTGCCCTGGCAGGTTGCAGGGCCTGGGTCTGGTGTCCAAGCCCACCAGGTGCTGTACTCCACCATGGCCACAAGATGGAGAAATCAGAACAGTGGCAGATGTCAGACCAGGTTCATTGCATCTTTACCCACCTCAGGCTGCCCTTCCCTAAAAAGTTCTAAAGTTGAAGATGTCAGAGTCCCAGTAAGATCATTCACAGAAGGTAAGAGTGTTTAAAAACATACTCTATGGTGGCTCACGCCTGTAATCCTAGCTGCTCAGGAGACTGAGATCTGAGAGTTGAAGTTTGAAGCCAGCCCAGGGAAGGACCAGTCAATTAGCAAAATACTGGAAGTGTAGTTATGGCTCAAATAGTAGAGTGCCAGCCTTGAGTGAAAAAGGCAAAGGAGAGCTACACACACACACACACACACACACACACACACACACACACACACACACTACTCTATTTACTCTTGTTTCCATATTTCAAGTTAACACAACCAGATTTCGAGTGGGGGAGAGGGAAGAAAATCACCCTCAAATAACCTGAGTTCTTTCTAAAGCAATCTCATCAAGAGTGACACACACACACACACACACACACACACACACACACGAATGAAATATTCGAAGCAACCCCAAAGTGAAGCAGACTACTGAGTTACACATCCACCATCTCATCTGACACAACCCCGGCCCCAGAGCAGTGGCAGACTTACAAGGCAGGATTTTAGGAAGGCACTACAGGGGGCATGCACCTGTCAAAGATTACTCCAAGCAGGGTTTGGGCTAGCTGATTTGACATGAGTAGTTGCAATAAGTGCAATAATAATAACAATAATAATAATAATATCAACAGCCTCTGATCGGTTCAAACCTAGTATTGTCAAAAAACAAAAACAAAACTTTGTTTCTGGGGAGCTTTGACACTTGGGAATTGGTAATCAGAATTCATGAGTCTGAAAGGTTGCACCATGGAGGAAATCGAGCTTCTCAGAAGCCAGGGGACCTGGCAGGAGGCACGGTGGAAAAAAAAAAAAAACCGACAAACCCCCGGGTGCAACCGCCACCCCCTTGCCCATCACCATCACGCTCGCGGCAGCCTTACCTGTTTTGGGCGCTCATCCTGCGGCGGGGCGGGGCCGGGCATATCCTGGATGGCCTCATAGACATTCTCCGAGTCACTGCGCGCCAGGGGTCTCGGGCACACCCAGGATCCCGCCACGCTGCAGGCCTTGGCATGACCAGTACTCCCGAGGAGGCCTGCGGACGGCGCGGCGCCCGGGCGCGCCAGATCATCCAGGGACTGCGCGGGCCGCACTGGAGCAAGCGGCCGGACGTACAGGCAGGAGGGCTGGCCTGGGGCTGGGCTGCGGCGTGGGTCTGCGGTGCGGTGTCGCGCGGGGCCACACAGGGAGCTGGCTCGGCCACGGGAGTCCGCAGGGGTGCCATCGGGGCCGGGGAGCCCGTGCGCACTCACGAAGCGGTAGTCATAGGCCAGGGGCTCCGGGACCGCCGGGCGCGGCTGGGGCGCAGGCGGCTGGGTGGGGGCCGGGTCGCCGAGCGCGGGCAGCTCGCGCACGTACTGCGCGGGCAGGTAGAAGGGGCGGCCGCCGGGCTCGCCCCTCACGTGCCACCAGTGCTCGGTGCTGCGCCGCAGCAGCCGGTAGCGCTCGTTGGGCTGAATGGCGACGCGGCGTCCATCCTTGCTCGTGTACTCGAAGGGGTGCTCCACCAGCACGTACACGTCCCCCTCCACGTCCGCCGCCATCGCGCGGCCCCCCTGGCTTCCCTGCTGAAATCAAGGACAGAGGTCACTGAGGTCAGAACGTCTGAATTTTAGTGAGTGCCCGCCCTAGGGCTCTAAGATCTGGCTGTTCGAGTCCCCATCTCGCATTCGGGCTTCTGTGTTCCCATCGGATATGCGAACTTGGTGAAGAAAAAACAAACATCACCTCGAACCTTCTCCTCAGTACTGGAATAACTGCGACGCTTCATTCTGTGGCTTTGATGGTATGCCTCGCTTCAGCCCCTAGGGAGTGGGGTGGCACTACTGGCCCAGTTTTACTGCCAGGGAAACCTTGGCTCAAAGACAGGTAGATTACTGGCGATAAGGTGGACACTACATTTGCCTAAAACTTGGCCGAACCTGTTTCGTCGTTGGTGAAGTGGGAATTAGAGTCATGTTTTCCCCCCTCCCTCCCCTCCTGTCCTCGGAGGCCTAGAGCGTGGGGGGGAATCCGTCAAACTCCGCTGCCCGCCCGCAGGGTCAGGACTGGGGCAGCGCTCCGGGGCAGCCCCCAGGCTGGTCCCCTCCCAGAGCCTGCACATTTCAAAGGCGTTTGGCTTCTCCGACTAAGGCTGGGGAACCGGTTCTCTCGGTTTCTTTCCTTCCCCAGCGGTTTCTCGCCTCACCGACGGACCGACCAGCACCATCTCCTGCCTCTCCGGCTCCCAGACCACCTCCGACAGAGGTTTGGCTTCGTGGCCTGCGCCCCTATCTTGGGTCTCGCCCCAGTTCCTGGAGTGACTACCCACGAGGTGTCCCCAGCGTTCTCCAAAGTTCTCTCAAGTGATCACTGTAAGCCCTGCCCCCTATGCCAGCTCAGTCTGGCTCCTGCTGTGTCGGCGCGTGGGGTGGGGTGAAGTGGGGTGAGGTGGGGGCAGAGCCCACGTGTTAAATCTGCCTGGGCGTCTCCGGAAGTGCTTGGCCCCTCCAAACACTTACATGGACCACGCGGGTCTCCTGACCCTCAAAGGTGGCTTGGGACCCCAAACTGGGAGTTCCGCTTCTTGCTAGGGCTGAGGGACCCCAGGAGCAATTAATAGGAGGCCCCTAGCGCTCCTTCTTTACCTCCACAAGCATCCCTCAATGGGGGAAAAGGGTGTAAACTGAGTCACACGGCAAACTCTGGTCCCTGAAGGCGGGGCCCAGCGAGCAAGCTAGGGGCTGAGCCTACAAACTCTACGCGCAGGACACTCCCCTCACCCCCTACCCCCACCCCTAGGCGCACTCACGTTGGCTGGGCGGGCCTCAGGGAGCCCATGGGCTGGATGGGCGGAGCCGGCGGTGGGCTGCAGATTCAGCTCCTACCATCTCCCAGGGTGGGGCTTCTGGGGGCGAGGCTGGAGACACCAGGCCAAGCTGGGGCTGGCAAGGGAAGACGAGGCAGAGAAGGCCATACAGTAGGGCTGTCCCCAGTCCCCAATGCCGTTGTGTGTAGGAGGGCGAGGAGGGGCCCTAACGCCCGTGCCGGGCCTAGGGCAGACACTGGGGGCGGAGCCCGGAGCGAGGGGAGGCTCTGCGGGGAGGTGCGCGTGAGGGGCGCCGGCAGGGTGTGAGGGAGGCACAAACGAGAATGGTAGGGTCTTGCCTCTGTCTGATCCCGCCGCCACCCCCGGTGGTCCCGAACGCCGCGGGCGCGCCGCTCTGGAAACGCACAGCTGAGGCGGGTCGGGCCGTCCCAGCGAGCGAGGCTGTTTGCACCTTGAATCACCAACTATGATCTCGGTGCAGCCGGAATGCCGGTGCTGTCTGTTCCCGACGCACCTCCCTCCGCCCGCCGCAGGCCCTTTGCAGGCCTGGGAAAACTAGGAGATTCCCATGGCAGGGACGCCCCCCGGAGCTCAGCGCCTCGGGTAGGGTGGAAAGGGAGCCCGCACCGCAGCTCCTTCCCAGGTCCTGGGGGAGGGACGGGGGAAGGACGGGGGAAGGACGGGGAGCGGGGAGGATCCTAGCAGCGCCAGAACTCATCCTTCGCTCGGCAGGAGGTACCTTGTGCCCGGGCCCCCGCGTCGGCGCTGGGATCTCGGCCTGGTGCCCCCTCCCCGCCCCAGGGCAGAAGGCAGCCCCTCGCCCAAGGCGATCTGCCCGCCCCCTCCCCCCCCCGGGCCCTCCTCCTGGCCCCCGCAGCTCCTGCTCCAGCTTGGTTTAAAGGGGAGGCGGCGCGCGGAGCTCCCGGGTGAGGACGGCTACCTGAGGCACCCTCGCCGCCCTCCCTCCGGCCCGGGCACCTTAGAGCGTCTTCCCGCGGCCTTGCTTCCACTTGCCCCGGCCTGGCGCGCGTGGGTGCTTGGCGTCCGGTGCTTCCCTCCTCCACCGCCAGACTCCCGCGCTGCCCTGTTTCCTGTTCAACAATATAACCAGAGAGGCACCGGCGGAGAGCGCTCCACAGAACTTCCTCCCAGGCTGGGGCTGGGCTGCGGTTGCGAGAGACAATCCCCGGTGTCCTGGCTTCCTGTCCCCTCTGGGCCGGGCCAGCGCCCCAGGACTAGAGACGCCACCCTTCCCCCCTGCACATCCCGGGATCCGGGGCCACACCTGGCTGTCTCCAGGGAGGAGTAGGCAGCTGGGCCCGGATGGTAGGCTGGTTGTGGGGGATGGCAGCCTCCCACTAACTTCTGGCCATATTACCCTCCCGTTGTAAGCTCCCTCCGTCTTTGGAGGGGAGGACAGCCATCCTTTTAGCTGGATGGCAAAAGTAAGCAACTTCCTGGGGCCAGATCTTGAAAGAAGTTTTAGGACCTTCCACTTTGGAGGCCTTTGGGAATCATCTGCCTCCAGGGAAAGCAGCCTTCACCCTCTGCTTTCCATTTGCGCTCATCCAGTGGAGAAGCCCAACCCCAGTGGACTCCTGCTCTAGGCCAGAGAGAAACAATTGTGAAGTTGCCTGGAAGTGGTTGTGCTGGGAGTTGGATGCTTCAGGCTAGTGTGTCCTCACCCAGATATCACCCCAGGAGGGCTGAGGCTTCGTTTAGCTAGAATCTGACTAATCATATTCTTTCTTGAACCAGCTCCCTAGTAACTGACCATTGTGCCCAGTGAGACTACATTGTGCTGGATATCTCAAGCCTGACTCATGGTGGGCTCTTAAAGCCCACCAGGGAAGGCCTGTGGCATCATCTTCTGCTCACATCATGCATCCTTTTCCACTGCCTCTAGTCATCTAGCAAACAGGCAGGCAGTGGCTGGTAGTATTTATGGTCCTCGCCTGGGGTCCGGCAGGTCTGATGCCCAATGTTGCTGAGAGTGCCTCTTATCTGTATCTCCTGTATTACCTGCTTACTTCATGGGCTTGCTGGGAAGATTAAATGAGATGCACTAACCACAAGGCTGTTAAGTGGTTATTGCTGTTGTTAAGTAGTTATTGCCATTGTTACCGTCATTATGGGAGGAGCTCTTTGGGGTTGAGTCTCCAAATGGTCCATCCTCCTCTAGGCAGAAGGGGAAGTGCCGTCACAGGCTCTTTGCCAAGGATGTTGAACCTACAGTACCAGCCTCCCCTCCACTGGGTCTGCCTCCTCCAGGGCCTGTCTCTGCCCTCCTTTCCTCTTGGCTACCACTCCTTCTTGGGAGAAGCTGGCGGGAGGGGTATTGGATGGACAGGGATGCCCACATACAGGCTGAAAGGAGTCTTCAATGGCAAGAAACGGGTGTGTTTTTTTCTGTCCCACTTTCCTGCAACCTGATTCCCCAGGAATTAGTCTATTTCCTTCTTTTGTTCTTCCGTGGGCAGTAGGGGGCTTCCTCCTATAGGCCCCTCGGCTTCGGCTTCTCCTTGAAGTCAGCAGCCAAGTAAAAGTCACTTTGGGTCCTAAGTCCACAAGCCCTGATTCCAGGTTTGCTCAATAACCCATTCTTCTTTGAGCCTCCCTCTCCTATACTTCTGTATATCACCAGGGACTTGTGTTGGGGGTTTTCAAGACACAGGAAGAGAAGCCACGGGTGAAGCTAATTCAGTTGATAAAGGTATGAAAATAAACCTCCCTGAAATCCCCAAATCCCACCCAGAGGATGCTGACTCCTTCGGGGCTTACTCACCCTCTTCTCCTTGACCACTCCTGGTATACAAAGCTTTCCACCTGCAAGTGTTTACCTCCAGCTGGAGACTTCCTCCTAGTTCCCAGTGACTAACAGGTGTGTGTGTGTTGGGGGGGGGGAAGGGGGCTACCAGATGGTTTCTGATAGCTGCTTATCTCCCCCACAGAAGCAAGGTTAGGATTCAGAAGTCAGACGACATTAGAAAGATCAGATCTTTACTGAAAAAGGTCATTCAAAAATCACAGCAGCAGTTCCTTCAATACATTGCAAAGCACTTCTCAGGGTCTGAGCCCCATTCATTAGAAAGTTTATTGCATAAAGTAATATTTTAAAAATAGTGTGGGCACTACTGAGGTTCATGTGAGCTTTCCTCTGGAGAGGAAGGGTTAAGTCAACTCATCTGACAGCATTAGCAGCTTGTTGGTAAAGGGAAGAGGGCCAGCTCTAATGCTCAGAATCCCAGGGGTGGGAGGAGGCCACAGGTATTAGGGCCTCCTGCTGTCTCCTAGGGAAGCTTATGGCCCAAGGCCCATCCCAGGCCAGATTCTTGCCCGCTCAGGGACCTGGGGCAACAAAACTGTGATCAGACCATATTTTGGGGGAAGCATTAATGCTGGCTGTAGGATGTAGATTGGGGATGCAGATCCACTTCGGGGTTCAGGTTCAGGAAGCTTTTGCATTCTGGACACTAGTGTGTACCACATTCCATGATGGAGACAGAGGAACACGCTGGTGTGGCAGTGTCTGCTACCTGCCTACCACCCTCCTCTGTTCTATTGCACAATTCTTCCAGCTCTGTGCAGAGGGCAGATGACTCAGCAGGCTGTTCACCTCAGGGAGGGTGGGGGAAGGCTCATCTCTTGACAGTGACAGGCAGAGCTCCTCACCTGAGGCCTCCATTTCCACCAGAGGCTCTACTCCAAGCCTGAGTGCAGTGGGATGGCCAGAGGGGCTGCTCAGTCCAGGAGAGGAGAGGAAGGCAGCAGAGAACATGCTCCTCTACCCTCACAGACCTCAGGGGTCTGAACATCACCTTGAGATAATTCCAGAATCCCATTACGAGGCCCCCTTGAAAGGCAATCCTTCTATGGCAGCATTCTGCTGGCAAGTCCAGGAACTGTGAACTCATGGCTTCCACAGGGCGTCTTCTCACAAATCCACGCACACCTCAGCAACAGAGGGGGGACCTGGCAGCCATGGCATCAGAGGCCATCCCCTGGCCTGCGCCCAGCCAGGCAGAGATGGCCCTGAGAACCTGCCTGAGGTGGGCCTTGCTGTCTGTGGAGCAGTAGGGAGGGTGTGGGACGAGGGCAGGCAAGGTGAAAGCCCTCCTAACGAGGGAAGGCTCAAAGTGCTCACAGTGCTTGTTGGGACCATTTCCTTGCTTCTCTCACAACTGTGACCCAAGGCCAGAAAAGAGCCAGGGGCCTATGATGCTGAGGAGGGAGGGCTTTTCAGGTGAGGAGTGTGGAACAGGGAGGTGGTTAGCCATCAGGACTGACTCTGTCCCACAGATGGGCAATTTGGCACATGGCACTGGTGCTGTTGGCAGGGGTAAAGGAAAGGCACCAGCCCACAGACCAGCCCTGTCCCACAATGGCCTGTTTGCCTGGCCCCCTTGCTTGTCTCCAGGCCAGGCCTGGTGTGGCACTGTCCATCTGATCAGGGTGGGAAGGCCTGGGGTTTCTTGTGCAGGGCCAAGAATAAAAAAATATTTTCTGTTGAAGCATGAAGGGGGAAAAAAACCCACCTTAAAAAAACTAGGCCTTTGAATCAGGAATGTAGAAGTGACAATGTCCCCCAAGTCTCCAGTGTGTGAATAGCCCTAATGGAGGTGTCATGCCAGCCAGGTGAGCCAGGCCTGATGGAAGACTTGCTTTGGCCCAGGCAGGGGTCTTGGGGGTGTCCCTACCTAAGGAGCAGAGGGTCATGGGAAGCCACAGAGTACTCGGCCTTTCTGGCCTTTCTTTGGGAGGTCCGTGCTCTGTGCACACTAAAGGGTCTTTCTCACAGGGAAGACAAGTGGAGCCTGGCTGGTGACAAAGCCATCTGGGATGACTGAGCTGAAGCTCCTGTGGCCTTGAGTGGATCAGGACACAACACTGAAGTTAGGTGAGAATGTTCTGTTCCTGATACTTGCGCCGGCGGGCACAGCGGGGGCAGCCCTTCCTCATCACGGCCTGGCAGCTCTGGTGGAAGACAGTCTTGCACTCAGCACACCTGGGGAGAGAGCAGTGAGCATTGGGCCAGATGTGCCCTGTGGCTGGGCTGGCCAGAGCTGGTGTCCTTATGCCTTACCCTCCAGCCTACGCAAAAAGCTGCTTCAGACAATGTAAGCTGATACTCCGTATCCCCCTCTACCATGATCCTCAGATCTCAGCTTCCTGAGTAGCTAGGATGACAGGTGTGAACCACTACCACTAGCACCTGATCCCACTTACTTTTTTTTTTTTTTAATAAGTGCTACTTTATTTCCCACCCATCTTTACAATACAGTTTCCACAACAGACTCAGGCCTGTTGAAGCCTAGCCAGAACACCAACCGAGGGTGAATGAATGTCTATACCTACAGAAGGGGAATGGCTGCTCCAACCATTCCCATTGCGACAAGAGGAGGCTAGGTGCACTTTTCCATTTGGAGGCTTCTGCTAATGAGCAGTAACTGGCGACAGGGAAGAGCAAGTGCTCATTCTACCTGGCCTTGTGCTATTGCTCCTTCCTCATCCCATTCACAGACTGAGGTCAGGGCCTGTGCTCAGGGTTAGCAGTGGCCTCTTATCTACAGCAACAGGGAAGAGAAGGAGGAGTCCTACAAGCCCAGAGAACAGATGACTCTGGGGACCATCGTACTGACACAGAGTAGATGTTCAGTGTGTCTCTGCACAGCAGTGAGGCCTGGCATCAGGTGAATTCCCCATACCTGACGGTAGTGTCGAACTCAAATGGGAAGATGATGTCATGATGATGGCAGATCTGGCAGATGAAACCCCGCTGGGTGCACAGGTTGCAGTGGTAGACGTGCTGGGAGGCGAACTCGATCAGGGCCTTGAGGAACCCTTCGTACACCCCCTCTGCAATCTGAGGAGGCAAGTGCAGGTGGGCCTTAGGTGGCTATGCTGTGGGTGCTCTAGGGCCCTACCTGAGGACCCCTCAGCTCCATCTGGGAAAGGAGACATGTCAAGCTGTGCCCTGAGGTCACTGGGGTGTGAGGATTGCCATTCTTGTACTGGAAACCTAGGGTCTGCTAGAGGACTGTGCCCATCACTGCTCTGCAGGCTGGGGCGGCAGGGAGGCCCATTGTATGGTGTGGATAGCTGATGACTATGGTCTGGCCTCAGTAAATTACAAGAACTCTTTCACCCATTTCTCCCTGTGATTCCTCGACCAATGAGACCCCTCTAGAGAAGGCTGGGGAGGGCAAGTGGAGAGCATGGTATGCTCACCTGCTGGAGGTCAGTAACACTAAACTTGTGAGGAGACTCCAAGAGATAATTCCTGTGGTTGAGCCTGCAAAGCAAACACAAGAGCTTCTTTAGAAGGGCTCCTGAGGACTGGGCCTGCCTGCATTGCTTGCCTTCCTGCCCTCAGCATGGCTGAGCAGCCTGAAAACCCTGGGTTTCCAAGCAGACAAGACAGAGTGCAGCCAGTGCCTGTGCTCCTAGCTGTCAGGACCTTGAGCAAGTTATCTAACCTCTCTGAACCTAAGATGTCCTCTCCTGAGAAATGGGTGTTGTTTTAAGGATTCAATAATCTATTTAAGGCATTTGGCATGGTGCCCAGCACATAGTAACTACATGATTAATATTGAGGATGAATGGGGACACCTGGTACCAGGAACTGGGCCGAAGGCCTGACACGTATTCACCTGATCCTCACAGTATCCTGAGAGGCTGGTCTTACTGTATCCCCTATTTTGAGAAAATGAGGGAACAGAGAGGCTAAGTAATTTGCCCAAAGTCACAGGTGATTCAAAGTCGAAGCTGGAGTTTGAACACAGGAATCTGGCTTCCAGACCTACAATTGAATCACTGCCACCTTTCCATTACCAGAGACAGTGCTGGGGACAGAAATAGCCACTGTCCTCTGGCAGCCCTTGGTTTGGATGAAGGACAGACTTTCAAGTATCTGGTTTCTGTGCTCTGTGAGAGGACTTGAAGTGTTCTAGGTAAGCAGCTCCCATTTCAGAGGTGGTGGAGGAGGGGCAGAGATGAGAGCTGGGCTGTCAGCGGTGCCCTGGTTCCCATCATACCACTGGCAGGGCCCTGGGGACACATCCCGCGTGATGGAGAGAGAACGCCTGAAGAAAAATCCCCGGCACAGGACCCTGCTGAGTGTCTGTGTCTGGGTGGCACTGGGGTAGGAACACTCTAAGTCGGGGAGCTTGGGAATCTGTGCCTGGATGCCCCAGCATCTGGGGCAGGATGGTATTAGTGCCTGGTGGGCACCTGGAATGGGGTTTGGCTATGCCCTAGCCAAGGGCTACAGTTGTGGTCCAAGGACAGTCCAGTGAGGTAGAGGTGGCAAATCCCACAAACACCCAGGCAGGCTATGCTGAATGTGGGGTGACAGGGCTGCCAACTCACTACTCAGTTTACCATGCTGGCTTCCCCAGTAAACTTCCAGCTTTCTGAGAACAGGAAGCCAGTATTAATGCCTGGAAAACTGGGAAGCCCTAAGCTGGCAGGAAGGGTAGGGCTGATCTGATGAAGAACTACCCCTATCATCTGTCCTCTGTCCAGTCCTGGGAGCCAGCCATGCCCAGGGCCTTCCTGGGAGTCATTGCACCCTGAACTTGTCACTCTCAGTGAGGGCTGTGCCACCATTTTTTCTGCAGTGCTCAGTCACAGGGTCAATGGGAGAACACTGACTAGGAAGGGGGCCACTCATCCTAGCTCCAGAAAGACAGAGAGATGCCTGGGCAATGGGAACATCTTGGCCTGTGCCACCCATATAATGATAAGAGCCATGCAGTGCCCTGCACAAGGCTGCCTGCTGGGATAGAGGTGAGAGAGAAGTCAGGGCTTCCTGAGAGACAGAGGAAGACAGGAGAAGGATGCTTCTTAACTCCTGTAACCTACACAGTGATGGGTGAGAAAGGGCCCTGGCAAAGCTGAATGGTCTGTGGGCCTTGGGTAGGTGATCAGGAATATCACCAAAGTAAGGTGGTGATATCCTTGTGGGGCATATCTGAATTGGATCCTTCTGGAAGGCCCAAGAAGTCATTTTTGGAGACATATCCCGGGCCTGCCAAGGATTCTCTTTCTCTCTGAGGACCCTCTGGTCTGCTGCCACCAACAAAGATCAACTCCTCCTGACTTTCATGTCCCACAGCCAAGAAAGATCTGCCATGCCACCTCAACCCTTGTCTCCCTCTCAGCCTTCCCCACTCTGGGGGAAATTACCACACCAGCACTTTCCCAGGGCCCTTGCTCTGACCCCTGCTGTTAAAGTGGTCTTTCCTAAGCCCTTCAATAGGTCTCCATGTGGTAGATGAAGCCAAAGGCCTTCAGTGGGGTACATAGGACCTCTGAGCCCTCACCCCCAACACCCACAGCCAGCTGCCTCAGTGATGCCTATGGCCTACCATAGGTTCCTGACACCTATCAGGGGCCTCTTGGAGATATTTCAGCAGGTGGCGGGGGGGGGGGGGAAGGGGGGAGCGGGGGGAGGTGGGGGGGACTCCTGTGCTCAGAACCCATCCTGTAGTTTACTGGTCTACACAGGTCTGAGTTTTCAGGAGGAACATGATTTCCCCAGACTATACCCTCAGGCAGGGACAAGAAAGCACATTCTGGGTCCCTGGGCTGTGGGATCTCATTTCAAAGGAAAGGATTAAGTCAGCCTCACTGAGAAAGGGAGGCCCAGGAATTAGCTGAGATTGGGGCAGCAGAGCACTCAGAGGACTTTCTGTTCTTCTAGGCCCCATGGAAGGGGGCCTGCTGAGTTTGGCGAGATAGCTCTCCCCTTTGCTTAGTAAAGAGCAAGTTCTGGTGCCTCCTTGATATCCCAGACGCTACACACTAGGCACACTGGCCTGAGGTATAGAGTAGGAGGGCCTCAGGGGGGAGCTACAATATACCTGGGCCCCAGTAGATACTATCAGATACTATACTCCTGCCCCTAGGAGTTGAGGAAGGGACACTAGAGGGGCTTGCAAGTCCCCTAGTCTCCAAGGATCCAGCATAAGCAGACATGAAGTCCATACCCATCAGTGGACCTGGCTCCAACACCAAGGCCTATCCTCTGGAGAACCCTGGGAAGCACAGCCTGTTAAAGGCCAAGGCCTGGGCTGACAGTTCAGGGCTAAGATGTAATTGTGACTGGGAAAGGCTTTTTGTTCTTTTTGGTAGTACTGGGCTTGGAGAGGCTCTTAAGTCTATCCTGAAAGCCAGTGACATCGCATATCCCTGAGCACAAAGGCCCCAGGCCCTGAGTAGAGGAACTTCTAGAAGTTGCTGGATGGGGTTGGGGAGAGAATCTGCCAAGGACAGCAGCAAGCCGCCCAGGGACGAGGATGGGTTGGGCTGGGCATGGCCCCTCTCTGCTTCTTTTCCCACTGGAGCCAAAGTTCTCCTGTGCCTTCAGTGTACCTTCCTGTGTCTCAGGCAGGTCACCCTGTGTGGAATGCTTCCCCTCCTCTTCCTCTTGCTACCGCTTACTCACTGGTCAGGTGCCACCTTAGGAGTCACTTCCTCTAGGAAGTCTTCCCTATGTCTCCCCTAAGCTGCACTTCATAGGGTATCCTTCCTCTCTCCCCGCCCTTGTTGGGGGTCCTGCTGGTTTGTCCACCAAGGACCTGGGCTTGTTCAGGACTGTACATACCACCTTGCCCAGTGCTTGACTAGGACAGTCTCAATAAAAGTTAAATAAACGAATATATGAATAAAACTCCTGAACCACTGCCAAAGAATGTGGAGGTTTCACAAGCCCAGTGGGAAGTTCTCCACCCAGCCCTGGTATTTCTCCTGAGTGGAGACCTTGGTCTGGGTGCAGCAGTGTGCACATGTGTAGGTGTTCACCTCTTGCTCAGCTCCTTCAGGGCACTGCTCCTGCACAGGCCCAGGTAATCCCCCAGAAGCTTCAACTGCTCCCGGCTTCTGCCAATCAGGTGCATGCGCTCTACATGCTCATACAGTGAGGCGTTCACCAGCTGCAGGTTGATGAGGGGTTGGGTCTGTATCTGAGCCAGGAACTTCAGGGCTTGCCGGCAGACCTGCAGGAGTCACCCAAAAGACAGACTGTTCAGCCAGAACCTCTGGGTCCAGTACATTGCCCATTCCCTCACCAGCCTGGCAGTCCATTCCCATGGAGGTGGCACTCTCATTTTTAGAACTAGGAAACTAAGGCTTAGAGAGATGAGGCCTCTTGGCCAGGGTCACACAGCTCAGAAATACTCCCCTGCCCCCTCCATGTTGAGCTGGAGGAGGCAGCTCTGGTTAAGGTCCACCCTCTGGGCCTTACAGACCCTTTCTTCTCGTGCTTTCCTGTCTGCACAGCCCCCTTTTCCTGTCTAAAGAAAACAGGCACTCCCCTGTGGATCCTGATCCAGGAACCAGGTGACTCCGCTTGCCATGAGGCTCTAGCCACAGGAAGCTACAGTACAGACACGGCTTCACAAGATTCCTGAGCGTCCTGAGCTCTTGCCAGCAGCATCTGTCCGGGCTACCATGCCCTTGTGAAGCCCAGTGATCAATTGCAGCCTCTCCCAAATGACTGACGGGGTGTGGAAGCTTGTGCTCTTAGCTCTGACCCTAATACTAATATCAGCACTGACTTGTCAGATACGGCCTAGAGATCTTGACTACGTTCTCTCATTTTGAGAACAACCCAAGGGCAGGATGGGTGTGGGGAACAAAGACTACATTACCCCCACATCACAGATGAGGAAACTGAGGCTCAGAGAAGCTACAGTGGTTTATCCAGCCTGTCAACAGCAGAATATAGGTGTGAGCTGAGGCCATGTTTGAACAGCAGGTTACCATGTAACTAGTAGGAACTCTACTGTGATGTCCCCTTGTGTGCTGGGGCGCAGAGGTTGACTGGAGGAAAATCAAAGTGCTACCACCTGGCATGCTGAGTTCAAACTAGGTGAGAGATTCCACATCAGTTTTTGGCATTCAGCACAGAGATGCTGCCAACTGCAGTATATGAGCCATGCTTAGTCTTGCTGTCCCCAAGGGGAGCCTCAGGAGACCTGCCTCTACTTAGGGGCCAGGGAAAAAATTTGACATTCTGTCCCCCAACTCCAGCAGCAGCTCCCATCTTTCCCAGAAACAGACAACTGATTTTCTCATGTCCTATTCTTGAGGTACCCACCACAGTCTGGGGTAGGCCAATGGCAATCCCCTGGTGATTTGGTTCTAACTGCTGCCTCCAGGTCTAGCACTGCTCTTCCTATAACTCTGTCTTAGGCCTTGGGTAAGGCTCAGATGAAACAATGCCCAGGAATGCGCACTCAAAACTACCCAGCTTTCATATGGGCAGGAGCCTCAGTTTCCCCAGGGGCCATTTCTATCCTGTGTACACATGGGACTCAGACAAGTAGAAATCCCAGTCTTAGGCTGACCTCCTGCCAAGTGCCAGCAAGGTCTCAGTACCAGGGGGTCAGCCAGAGCAGCCACAGATAACAGTGTGTCCCCCAAACCATGGGCCAGTAACTTCCTTGAATTTTCTTGTCTTTCTTGAGGCAGTGATCTTTGAGAGTGCTAGATATTTCTTGATCTCAGATGTGCCTAGAAAAGCATGTAACTTTCTAGAGAAAGGAGGAGGCACAAGGATTCTACCAATGAATGAGATGGTTCCACAGCAGTGCCAGGAGCTAAGAGTGAACATGTTTTACTGTCAAAGGGTTCTCTGCATTCTTTGATTCTGCATTTAATTTATTCTCTGAACTTAATTGTTTAACACTAAGGGTAGGGGCAGGGAAAAGGTAAACAAAAGAATGGCCAAAGTGGAGCCAACTTTGGGGTTTCCCCTTCTCAAGAGTCACTTCTGCTCTGAGGGCCTACATAGCCAAGACTGTACAGCCCATAGGTTCTGGGAACAAGAGAGGCACATGGAATCTTCCTTGTGCTTCTGTGCCTGCCTTAATAGACATCTGTGCTTTGGGGAGAAAAGCAAGTTGCATGCTACCTGACACAGACCGGACAGGACAGGAGGTGTGACAGGCCTTAGTGAAGGCCACTGACCCTCAAATAATCCCAAGAGAGAGACATTTGTGGATCTCCCCAGAAGCCAAAGCTAATCTGCTCATGGCAACTAGCTAAGAAAGTTGCTAAGCTCAGCTACAGGAGAGTAAAATTGAAAGATCTTAGAAAATACTTTGTTCAGGGCTGGGAAGGTGGCTTAGTGGTAGAGTGCTTGCCTTGCATGTCTGAGGCTCTGGGTTTGATTCCTCAGCACCACATAAGAAAAAAGAAAAAAGCCAGAAGTGGCGCTGTGGCTCAAGTGGTAGAGCGCTAGCCTTGAGCTGAAGAGCTGAGGGACAGTGCCCAGGCCCAGAGTTCAGGCCCCACGACCAGACCTCCACCCCCCCCCCCCAAAAAAAAAAAAAAGAAATTACTTTGCTCAGAAATATTTGGTTGGCCTGAAAAAGTACCTGGAGATACACTATTAAATAAATATAGCATGTGATAAAGCAAGATGAGCCTGGCACAATCCTAGTTTTGTAAGTAGATGCACAATTAAGTAAATGCACAAGAAAGGCTATACACAGAAATGCTAATATCTTTGGGTGAAGACACATAATTTTAATTGATTTGTCTTTGGACATTTACATGTTAAACAAGAACCACGTGTTAAACAACAACTATGTGTTATTTTTATAATGTCAGAGCCCCAGAAAAAGAGCTATTTACAGAAAATCCAAAAAACAAAACACAAAGGCCTGATGCTGTAAGTCTAGCTACTAAGAGGCTGCGATCTGAGAAGTGCAGTTCTGAGCCAGCCCTAGTAGGAAAGTCTATGAGACCCTTATCTCCAATTAATTGCCAAAATACAAACAAACAAAGAAGTGGAGGTGTAGCTCAAGTGATAGAATGCTAACTTGGAGCAAAAAAGTTCTTGGACAATGCTCAGACCCCAAGTTAAAGCCCCAGGACTGGCACGCACGCGCACACACACACACACACACACACACACACACACACACACAAACACACACACAAACACAAAACAAGAAAAGAATAACATAAGACCATTCAGGGCCAACGAATAGTCATCTGGGCTCCACAGGGTTAGTAAAAGCAAGGCTGACTGCTCTTTAGCTAGCTAGCCCATCTGCACATCTATCTATGTATGCATCCTTCCCCCTATTCATCTACCTACCCATCCATCTATCCACCCTTGATATATTAGATCTATTCTCTGCTAACCTTACCTACCTACCACCAACCTACTTAACTATCTGACTTTAAATAGTTGTTTGTTGCTGTGCTAGCTACCTCATATGCCTGACTGGGAGCCAAAGCAGTGGTTTACAGAGCTTTGCCCAGGGCCTGCTTTTTCCCTGGTTGTGGCTCCCCTTCACCCTCCATCACAGGGTCTGAACCAGTGGCCCTGGCCTTTCTAGAGCCAAACTCCTCCAGACAGACAAACAGCAACAGCAATGAAGGGAAGATGCTCCTCATTACTCAGCAGCCCTGGGTGGCCATGAAAGGCTGGCCTTGAGACTTACCGGGCGTTTGGTGAGGTCCCAGTTGTGGATGATCCTGGCTGGAATCACTGAGGCATCGTCTTGGTGGCAGATGTCACAGTAATAGAGGCCAGAGAAGGCACAGAGCTTGGGTCGTACAAAGGAGAAGCCGATCTGCTGGGAGCAGCCTAGGGGGATGGGAGTGGATGAGTGGTAGTGGCCACAGGCAGTTCCAAGTAACTAAGAAGCTACTATGGTAGAAAGGGACTTGCTAGGTTTTTCTCAAAGGACTACACAAAAAACAATCACTCTTATTTCCACCACTTACCATCAACATTCTTCATTACAACAATGTACTATAACAATTACTGTTGCCATTTGACAGCTGAAAAAGTAATGCTCAAAGGTTTAAAAGCCTGGCTGAAGCCAGGCATGGTGGTGCATGATGATAATACCAGCATTTGGAAGGCTGAGGCAGGAGAATCAACAAATAGTTCAAGGTCAACCTGGGCTAGCTAATGAGACTGTTCACAACAACAAAAAGCCAAAAACAAAAAAAGATAGGAGGAAATTAGGTCCCAAAGCCTGTATTCTTCTCCATTTACTTTGTGTAATAGTGTAACTGTTTGCTTCCCAGAGCCAACATCCTCTCTACCTGGGCCTAGAAACAAAACTTCAAAGGCAAGTGTAGGCCTGTAGTGAAGGAACTGGAGAGAGGGGCTTGCCACAGGAATGGCTGAGGAATCCACCAGGAGAGGGGTGACATGGATACTGCCTTGTGCCACTGGCTTAACCTCAGCAGGTGGAACCCAGGACAGCCTAATATCTCAAGACAGTGGGCTTCAGCCCCTTGGATGGCAGTCCCCCCACTGCAGGGGACAGTGGGAGTCAAGTGTGCTGAGGACAAAAAGCCCAGTTCAAATCCTAAACCTGTGCCCTCCTTTCCACAAGGGTATGGGTAGAGGCGCTCTTAGCCTTGGGACAAACAGCTGGCTTTTTTGCTTACTAGTGACCTCATCCTGACCTTCATGAATCTTCTCAAGATTCCATTTCACTGTCTGTAAAACTGAGCTACTGGTAGCTGTTTTGTGGGATTATCACAAAGTGTAAGTGAGACAAGGTTCTGAAAGTGTCCTACGGGCTATGAGCTACAGCTCGGATGTCTGTGTGGGTCACTGGACTGCACTGCAGGGAGGAAGGAAGCCCTTCGGTTTCACAGTGCAGGCTGGCAGGCTGGTGGTGACAGCTACAAGAACTGAGAGCAAAGTGTGAGTGTGGGTGCTGGGTGGCAGCCACTTGCAGATGTTTTCTGCAGGAAGCTCTGCTCAGCACTTCTCCCATCCTCCAGGGGGCCCACCGCAGCCCACATCCTTCAGTCTAGGTGCTTGAAGCTGGCTTTCCCCTCTGGCTCACAAGCTCCACCCACCAGGATAGATCACTGGTTCCCTCAGGCCTTCTGCAGAATCTCCCTGACCTCAGGGAATAGAAAGAAAGAGATGATAGTGGGACAGCATTCAGCTTCAGACAAAGAGGGTAGGAACCCTCTGGGGTCCTGCCCACAAGCTTAGGCTTGGGATGTGACCTTCAAGATATAATTCTGTACCTTCCATATGCTGTCTGACCACTCTGGGCCTCGGATTCCTTACTTTATCATAAACAAAGAAAAGACTAGCCTTACCTCTACAGGGTTATTGTGAGGATTAAATAAAATAATCTCAGTTTAAGTGCCTCACATGCACTTAGATTTAGATTTAGTGTTAGATTTCAGTCAAGTGCTGTTGGCTCATGCCTGTAATCTTAGCTACTCAAGAAGGCTGAGATCTGAGGATCACAGTCCAAAGCCATCTGGGGTAGGAAAATCAATACACCTCTTATCTCCAATAAACAATCAAAAAGCCAGCAGTGGAGCTGTGGCTCAAATGGTAGAGTGCCAGCCTTGAATGAAAAAGGTAAGGAACAGTGCCAGGCCCTGAGTTCAAATCCCAGTACTGGCACACACACACACACACACACACACACACACACACACACACACACACACACACACGCGCACGCACGCACGCACGCACGCACACACACACACACGGCATAATATCTATAATACATTGTTAAGGAGAAAAAAATCAAGTTTCAGAGCAATATATGGTGCTATGTTGCCCAACACAGTGGTCATAAGCCACATATACCTATATATTTTATTTGGCTCTACTGGGGTTTGATATCAGGAGCTGATGCTTCTTAGAAAAGTGTTCAACCACACCACAGATCCTTGTTTTAAAGTTATATTTTAGCCTCAGACCACAACTCTCCTACCTGCAGCCTCCCACACACCTTAGATCACAAGTACATATGACCATGCCTCTCTTATTGAGATGGGGTCTTGCTGTTTACACAGACTGGCCTCAAGCCATGATCCTTATCTCTGCTTCCTGAATAGCTGAGATTACAGATGCGAACTACCATGCCCAGCCACCACAGGCATCCCTCTCTATTTAATTGGGAAATTTAGTTGGTTAGTCACACTAGCACCATTTTAAGCCCTCCAGAAACTACACTGCTTAGAGTTATTGACTGGGTAGCACAGACCTAGTATACTTTCCTGATATGGATAGTCCCATTGAACAGTACCAGTGCAGGATTTGTATAAGTGCGCTAAAAATTTGCTGTGGGAAGACCCTCAGCCCCTTGGGGCTGGAGTGGAGGCTGTGGGACCAGCCCCCTTGAAGCACCATCCAGGGCAGGGATGGAGGCCCTGGTGGGGAGACTAAGCCAGGAACCCTGCAGGGAGTCAAGTGTGGCTGGCAGGCTGCATGTGGTGGAATTGGTCAGTACCTGCGCAGAAGCAGCCCTGGGAGTCCAGGCCCTTCTCGGTGGGGATGGCTACAAGGTACTGCAGCAGGAAGCCATTCTCCCTGGTGGCGAACTTCAGCACCTCCTGGCAGTTTTCATCCAGACTCCCACCTAGCGTCACAGCTTCCTCAGCTGTCTCTAGGTAGGATGCCAGGACCTTGCGGACCAGGTCCCTCCACAGGGCGGCCTCTTCAGCAGTCCCAGCCTGCAGTTTCAGAATGGCCTTGGCTGTGATGATTTTGAAGAAGGCCGGGCCCCCAAGGCTTGTGTCTGGCAAGATGTCTCGGATGGTCTCCACTCCATGGCTGTCACTGAGCATCTTCTCATTGTTTCTCACTCGGAAGCATTTCAGAGACTCCAAAGACAGAGAAAAAATGTAGGGTATCCAGGTTCTATCTGCATACAGGTACAGAAGGGACTCTTTGATAGCGTCTGGCTCTGGAACCTGGGCAGACGTCCAGTTCAACTGTGTGCCCTGGGGGACCACAGGCTCAGCCAGCAGAGCTGAATGAGAGGGGTGGCTGCCAGGAGGACCTTCAGGGGCATCCTCAGGCTCCTCTGGGTATTGGATGTTTACCCACTCATCCTCCTGCTGAGGCTGGACCTTTTGCAGGGCCTCGCGCACACGGTCCAGCCAGTCCTCCGCTTCATCCTGGGAGGAGGCACGCAATGCCAGCTTCTTGCCAGAGAAGACCAGCTCAAAGCGCCCATCGCTGTGGGCCGGCCCCACAGCCTGGCATCGCAGCAGGGAGCAGCTCTCCACACAGGTGTGCTCCTGGTCACTCAGGTAGAGGCGGAGCTCCAGTGGGGAGAGTTCACAGAAGAATTCCTTCCAGATGCCCATGGCTCCCCGCCGGGCCACGGTGCCCAGCTTCATGAGGCCCCGGAATGGGTTAGACAGCCCTGAAGGTGGAAAGAAACACTTCAGACTGTGGATCTGTCCCTTTACCACCCAAGGCCACCTCTGTGCTCAATAGCCTGTTGTGACAGTGGACACAGTAACTGCCTCCAGAATGGAGGTGGCCACGGGGCACTGTCAAATGGCATTCTAAAAGCTAGATGGGCCCTACCACGTCCTCCCTTCTGCTGTTGATCTCACTCTTTCCTCTCACAGGAAGATAAAAACACTCAGCTGATTCCTCCTCCAGGCTCCTCACTGCCCCTGCCCCTTCCAGCATCTGTGTCCACACTGACTTCCCTCATGTCACCAGGGACCACTGCGCTCCCGCCTGAGGCTAACCCTTCCCCTCCTCCCCACCTACTCAAGGACAAGGACATTTCTCTTTCAGTTCTCTTTCTCCCTTCTGGATTATTCTCATCAGCATACAAACATTGTTTTTCTCTCTCATAAAATTCTCTCTTCTCTCACATCTCTGGTTACCTTCTCTGTTTCTTGGTTTCCCCTTTACAGAAAAATGGCTTGAGGAAGTAGTGACAATTTCCTTGCTCTCTTTCCTTCTTGAACCTGTCCCAATGAAGCTTTTGTTCCTTCTTCTAATGAAACTGCTCCTGGGAAGGCCACCAAGGCCCTCTGTGGGGCCTGCCCAGAGCGCTCTACTCCCATCGCCTCATTTCTCTGACCTCTCAAGGCTGGAGCACCCCAGGGTGCAATCCTGGCTCCCTATCTATTCCTGGCTGAGCTTCCCTGCTCTCAAAGGTTTGTGGAGAAAACCCCTCCCCACACTTTCTTTCTATAGCCTAGACCTCGCCTATGAGCTTCAGATTCACATATCTACCTGCTCCATGTATGTCTAACATGTCTCCAAGTTCACATACTCCAGAACAAGTTCCTGATTTTCCTGCTGCTCACTTGCTTCTTTTCCCTAGTGTTCCTCATCTCATAAAATGGAAAACTTCAAGCCTGGCTTCAGTGGCTTACACCTGTAATCCTCAGGAGGCTGAGATCTGAGGATCACAGTTCAAAGCTAGCCCAGGCAGGAAAGTTCATGAGACTCTTATCTCCAGTAAACCACCAGAAAACTGAAAGTGGCACTGTGGCTCAAGTGATAGAATGCTAGCCTTGAGCTGAAGATCCTAGGGACAGTGTCCAGGCCCAGAGTTCAAGTCCCACGACTGATGGGGGGGCGGGGGGGGGGCAAGAGAGGAAAATTCCATCCTTCCATTTGCTGTGGCTGAAAACTTTAGGGTTACCCAGATATTCCTTCTTTCATGCCCTATACTTATTACACCAACAAATCTTATGGACTTTGCCTTTGCTACATATACCCAGAAACCCTTACTTTTCTCTGCTCCCCCTCCACTCCTTTCTCAACAGAATTATCTCTGGCTTGGCTATGACAATAGTCCCTAACTGGTCTTTCAGCATAGGAACCAGAAGGACCAATTTAAAAGATAAGCCAGGTCTGGGAATGTGGCTTAGCGATAGAGTACTTGCCTAGCATGCACAAAGCCTTGGGTTTGATTCCTCAGTGCCACATAAACAGAAAAACAGCTCGAAGTGGTGCTGTGACTCAAGTGGTAGAGTGCTAGCCTTGAGCAAAAAGAAGCATTAGGGACAGTGCTCAGGCCCTGAGTTCAAGCCCCAGGACTGGCAAGAAAAAAGGTAAGCCAGAGAGCATGGCTCAAGTGGCAGAATGCTTGCCTAGCAAGTGCAAGGATCAGAGTTCAAACCCACCCACCTCTGCTCCAACCACTCTAGCCACCATAGTCATTTGCCTCATCTCTCCCTCTCTTCCCACCTCAAATGTCACTTTAGCAGAGATGGTTGCTCTGGCCACCCTCTAGCAAGATGATGCTGTTTACCAGGGCATTCCTGAATCATTCTCCGTAGCTTTTATCATTACTTGACCACACTATTTACCTCTCCCTGGCCCATTAGAATGTAAATCTCATGAAGGTAGGGACACTGCTTTGCTTCCTGTTCCGTTCCCAGCTCCTAGACCAGTGCCGGACATATCACAGATGATTCCTGGTACACTCACAGAAATATGTGCTGAATAATGAATGGGCTGCTGAGAGAGTGAGTGCTCATGTGAGTACTGCCCTCCCAAAGATCACATAATTCTCTCTCCCCAGCCTGGACTAACCCTGGAGATCTGAAACTACTACACAGGCTTTTCCTGCTCCTCACGGGGCCTGGAAGCCTAGATACCCTGGCCTGGTTAGAAGGCATAGGTGGCCCTGGGTTGGCAGATACATCCAAAAGAAGCCAACATAGAGACCAGGGTTGGATCTACACAACCTTGGATTTCTGTCTCACAAACCTGGCTGAAATCTCTGCCAGAAGTGCAAACAGAAAATGAGAGAAAGAGCAATGTGAGGGCAGGCACACTTGTTTAAAAAGGAAACTCATTTTGATGGTCACAGAAACATTTGAAAAATTCGAGTACGGTTATTTAATGCTTCCTGGAATTTCACAGGATGTGGAGATCAAGCTGGCCTTACTTAAAGGGTCAGTGGAAGACAGAAAACAACAGTAGGTCTGATAAACCTCTCTAGAGCTGGTTCACGACCCATCCAAGATAAAAGGACTGTGGGAAGAAGCTGCTGGAGCACCTATGCCCATAAGGGCTGGTTTTTCCAAAGGGTGCAGAGTTAGTTCCCAGCAACCCAAAAACTTTATAGCATAGCTTCAGGGAGAATACTTCCACTTTACTATAGAAAGTAGTATTTTATAATCTGTAGGCTGTTTTTTTGTTTTGTTTTGTTTTATTGCCGGTTGTGGGGCCTGAACTCTGGCCCTGGGTGCTGTCCCTCAGCTCTTCAGTTCAAGGCTAGTGCTCTACCACTTGAGCCACAGTGCTACTTCTGACTTTTTCTGCTTATGTGGTGCTGAGGAATTGAACCCAGGGCCTCATGCATGCAAGACAAGCACTCTGCCACTGAGCCACCTTCCCAGTCCTGTAGTCTATTTTGAACACTGTTTTACTATGATGTTCTAAAGCATTTTCCCCAAACTCCTGAATTTCTAAACCCAAGTACACCTGACTATTTCATTCTAAGACCTGATTATTTCATTCTAGGCAAGGTCCCCCTGGGAGAACACACCACCTATTGGAAATGGCATATAAGACTCAGAGCCGCTTTCTGAAAGACACAGTCCCTGCAGATGGGACCATACAGAGCCACTTACCCATCTGCCTCCGGTGTACCACTCGAAAGTTTTTATGCTCATGTACTGGGGCTGCTCCGGCATTCTCCCTGCCTGGGGAGCGCACACACGCTCTGTCCAAGGCCCCCAAGGAACAGCTCTTTTGAGGTCCTTCAGTAGGACACCTGTGGAGAGTGGACCCTGGCTCTGGAGTCTCTTGGCAAGAAGCTGCACAGACACGGGAAGCATTCTGTAGAACGTGCTCCTGAGGGGGCCGATAAAAGTCATCTTCGGAGATCCAGCTTGGGCTTTTCTATCAAGAAAAGGAAAGCAGCAGCTGTCTGTTTTAGAGAGCTTAAATATGTTTGCACAGTCATGATCTACATAGCATAAAAATGTCCCATTTCTAAAAATGAATCTACAATTAAGTAGTTTTTTTTTTTTTGGGTGTGGGGGCGGTCCAGTCGTGGGGCCTGAACTCTGGGCCTGGGCGCTGTTCTTCAGCTCTTCAGCTCAAGGCTAGTGCTCTACCACTTGAGCCACAGTGCCACTTCTGGCTTTTTTTTTCTGCTTGTGTGGTGCTGAGGAATCGAACCCAGGGCCTCAGGCATGCAAGGCAAGTGCTCTACCACTGAGCCACCTTCCCAGCCCAAGTTTTGTTATTTTTATAAAGTGTAACCATCATCATAAATCTAAGTTGAGGGATAAATATATATTTTATATATAATTTATACATATATATAAATTATATATAAAATATATATATTTATCCCTCAACTTAGATTATATATAATATATATTACGTATAATATATATTATATAGATTATATATAATATATATTATGTATAATATACATTATATATATAGTTGGTCATGGGGCTTGAACTCTGAGCCTGGGTGCTGTCCCTGAGCTCTTTGGCTCAAGGTAAGCGGTCTACCACTTGAGCAGTAGCGCCACTTTCCGTTTTCTGGTCGTTTATTGGACTTGCCTGCCTGTACTGGCTCTGAACCGCAATCCTCAGATCTCAGCCTCCTAAGTAGCTAGGATTACAGGCATGGCCCACCGGTGCCCGGCTAAGGATATTTTTATAATTCCCCAAAAGAAACCCTCTATCCAATGGCAGTCACCCCTACTTCTCCATTTAGGAATTTTCTTCTATATTCTGTCTCCACAGATTTGTACACTTCTGCTCATTTCATATAAAAGGGATCTTAGGCTATAAAATAGTAGTGTATGGTTTTTTGAAACTGACTCCTTAGTGTAATATTTTCAAGGTTCATCCTACTTAGAGACATTTAGCTTTCAATATTTTTTACTATCAAATAATGGTATTCAGGTACCACATCTTGTTTATCTACTCAGATGCTAATGTACATTTGGGCTATTATGAATACTGCTGCTATGTACATTCACGCACAAGTTTTTTATGTGGACTTCTGTTTTGCTTTTCTTGGATATATGTATACACACACACACACTTTTATCTGGACATATATAACTCTAAGTTTAACTTTTTGAAGAACTATCCATTTCCCAACATAGCTGTACTATTTTATATTCCCACCAGCAATGTCTAAAGGTTCCAGTTTCTCTGTAAACTCTCCAACATTTATTATGTCTTCTTGACTACAGCCATCCTGGTGAGTGTGAAGAGGCACCTCACTGTGGCTTCTATTTGCATTTTCCCAATGTTTAGTAGCACTTTTCATGTGGCTAATGGTTTTATCCATGCTGACCACCCCTCACTTATAAGGCCTTACTATGTATCTCACGCTGGCCTTAAAATTCTCTTCTTTTAGCCGCCTGATAGCTGGGTTTACAGGTATGAACCTCTATGCCCAGCTCTACTTTTTTTTTTCCCCTTTGTGCTCCTGGTGGTATATCTAAGCAATATTGGCAGCTAACTAAAGCCAACGTCAGAACAAAACTACTCCTACATTGCTCCTAAGGGCTTTGTGATTTTAGTGCTTACAGTTAGGTCTATAATCCATTCTGAGTTAGTTTTTGTGTAAGGGCAAGAGGTGCAACTTTACTCTTCAGTGAGTGGATATCCTGTTGTCCCAACATGTATGCCTTGCATACAGGGTTTGAGATGAGGGAGGCTCAGTCCTCACTGGATCCTTTGTGTATGTGTTCTAGTCCTGATGCTTGAATTCAGGGTCTAGGTGCTGTCCCTGAACTTTTTTGTTCAACGCTAGTGTTCTACTATTGAGCCATGGTTATACTTCAAGCTTTTTGGCACTTAATAGGAGGTAAGAATCTCATGGACTTCCCTGCTCTGGCTGATTTTGAGCTGCAATCCTCAGATCTCAGCCTCCTGAGTAGCTAGGGTTATAGGTGTGAGTCAACTGCACCCAGCCTCCCTGCCTCTTTTGTTTTTGAGTCAGGTTCTTACTATGTAACCTAGGCTGACCTCAAGCTTGAGATCCTCCTGCCACCACCTCCTGGGTACTAAGATAACAGGCTAGGCCATGGCACCAAGCTGGTCTCTACTTCTGAGCAGGCCTCCAGCAGGCAGGTCCTGGCTTCTCCTTTTGCTGCAGTCACTGAGTCTGAAGATACTTAGCAAGAGGGGAAGTGGGAAAGATCTGGGGCCAGTGAGCTTGTGGGAATAATTCCAGTTCCCTTCTTTCATTATTTCAGGCCCTCCTGCCCTTCTGTGCCTAAACATAGAAGAACAGAGGCAAGGAAGCTGGCAGGCTGCCCAAAGTGGCTGTCTGCATGGAGGAAATGAGTCACACAGAGGTGGAACCAGCCCAGCTGTTTTGCTAAGTGCCACTAACCTTACCCTGATATTGCTATTTCCAACCCCTCAATCGAGATTGCCCTCCCTGGCTCTGTAGACAGGGAGGATCAGCTTGGGAAGGCTTGGTTTGGACAGTTTAATTCATTCAGATGCTGCAAGACTCCTGAGGCCAAGAGTAGCAAGTTCTGATTCAGATGCATGAGGGAGCTACCTAGAAACCTATTTCAGAACTGGCTGGGGGTTCAGTTTCGTTCTGCCAGGGATAGGATGATGTGTTGATCAGTGTAGCTACTGGGGACCATGTGCAACACTGGATTCTAAACAAAGCCCTCCTAGATCACTAAGACCCAGGGCAATTCCCTGAGGACAATGGATGAAGCAACTCCTAGCACACTGGAGATCCTGCAGATGTGCAGCCCCTGCTCATGGCCTTGATGGGAGAGTTAACATCACCTCCTTCTGGACATTTCTTCAGCCATCCTAGCTCCCACCCCCTCTCACCTTCCATTGAGACAGGGACCCTTACAGTCCCCCTGATATTCTGTGCTTACCCCATCCTAGCATCTACAAGGCGATTTGGAAGTTCTTTCTCTTCCTCTTTTTTGGGGGGTAGGGGGATGGGGTGGGTAGACCAATGTTCGCTCAGCAAGCACTCTACCACTTAAGTCACGGCGCCAGTCTTGCCATTATGTTTCTTGGTATGTTCAGCAAAAGGGCAGGGCACTTGTAAGAGACTAAATTCCAACTACTAAAAAAACTTCCTTTTTTTTTTCTTCTGTTGGTCATGGTGCTTGAACTCAGGGCCTACCTGTTCGTGAGCTCTTTTTGCTCAAGGCTAGCATTCTACCACTTTGAGCTATAGCTCCACTTCTGGTTTTCTGCTGGTTAAATGGAGATGAGTCCCATGGACTTTCCTGCCTGGGCTGGCTTTGAACTGTAATCCTTAGATCTCAGCCTCCTGAGCACAGTAGATAGGATTTCAGGTACGAGCCACCAGCACCTGGCCCAAATTGTGAGAGAGAGAGAGAGAGAGAAAGAGAGAGACAGAGACAGAGACAGAGAGAAACTGTGTGTGTGTGTGTCTGATGTCTGTCTGTCTGTGTGTTTTTTTGTTCCTGGGGCTTGAATTCAGGGCCTAGGTGGTCCCTGAGCTTCTTTGTGCTCAAGGCTAGCACTGTACCATTTGAGCCAAAGTGATACTTCTGGCTTTTTTTTTTTTTTTTTTTTGATCGGTTATAGGCCTTGAACTCTGGGCCTGGGCACTGTTCCTCAGCTTTTCAGCTCAAGGCAAGCACTCTACCACTTGAGCTACAGCACCACTTCCAGTTTTCTGGTGGTTTATTAGAGATGAGTCTCATGGCCTTTCCTGCCCTGGCTGGCTTTGAACCTGGATCCTCAGATTTCAGCCTCCTGAGTAGGTAGGATTACAGGTGTGAGCCACCAGTGCTGGCACTTCTGGCTTTTTTGAATAGTTTATTGGAGATAAGGGTCTCACTGGGACTTTTCTGCTTAGGCTGCCTTCGAACCGTGATCCTCAGATCTCAGCCTCCTGAGTAGGTAGGATTATAGATGTGAGCCACTGGCACCTGGCTCCCAAATATTTTTTAATGTAAGATAATAAAGGGGTGGTGGTGGAAGGAACTGGAGAGATAGAGACAAATGTGAATTTCATGGCTATGGAGAGTAAGCGCAAGTACTTTTTTCACTACTAGGAAATGCTCAGACATAGTCCATTGACCACAGAGCAGCTGCCAGATGATTCGCTGAAGAAAACCTCTGATTTGCTAAAGCAACAGTGGGAACAAGTTCCTTGGAGATGGCTGAGAGTGTGTCGGCCCCTGGGAGACCACATACATACAGCTCTGGTCACCAGTCACACCAAGGTTGGTTCCCTTTACTCTCCTTCTTCCTACATGTTGTCTGCTAGCTCCAGGGGTGGGATCACCACTGACTCAGGATCTACATAGTAGCACCTGCCACCAGAACTCATGGCAGATGAAGCCCACTCTGAGCTGGTACCTGACATTGTATTTAATGGCTATACCCTGAGGGAACAAGCTGAGGAGCAGGATCCAGGCCTCTGGACCACTTTTAAAGGACTTGACTTGTCCAGGCTGTCCTCATTATGTCAAGCAAGGTGACTGCCTATTTCCAGTTCTTCAAGAGGGGATTCCCGTGCTTTAGGTAGATGGATTCAAGGGCTCCCTGCTCCTAGCACCTTTTCTTCCTGTGTATCATTTATCTGTTCCCAAAGGGAAGGGCTCTTATCTGCCCTGTTTCATTTATCATGGTGGTTGGTTCATTTGAAGTGCTTTAAGCTAAACGGCTTAACACCCCCCCACACACATTTTTTTGTGCTTATATTAGGGCTTGAGCTCAGAGCCTTGTGCTCTAGCTCAGCTTTGCTCTACCACTTGAGCCATGCTTCTAGTCTAGCTTTTTTTGATAGTTAATTGGAGATAGACTCTCCTAGACCTTTCTGTCTGGACTGGCCTTGAATCTTGATCCCAGATCTCAGCCTCCTGAGCACTTATGATTATAGGTGTGAGTCACTGGTGCCAGGCCAAACAAGACATTAAAAAAAAAAAAGAGGGGCTGGGAAGGTGGCTCAGTGGTAGAGCACTTGCCTTGCATGCTCAAGGCCCTGGGTTCGATTCCTCAGCACCACATAAGCAAAAAGAAAAAAGCCGGAAGTGGTGCTGTGACTCAAGTGGTAGAGCGCTAGCCTTGAGCTGAAGAGCTGAGGGACAGCGCCCAGGCCCAGAGTTCAGGCCCCACGACCGGACCCCCCCCCCCCCAAAAAAAAAGACTGAAGTCTCTCCAGGCCATAAAACTTAATGGTGACTCCAACATCCCTCCAAAGATGTGTCAAATAAAAAGCATGTGGCTGGGCTGGGAAGGAGGCTCAGTGGTAGAGTGCTTGCCTTGCATGCATGAGGCCCTGGTTCCATTCCTCAACACCACTTAAGCAGAAAAAGCCAGAAGTGGTACTGTGGCTCAAGTGGTAGAGCACTAGCCTTGAGCTGAAGAGCTGAGGGACAGCATCCAGGCCCAGAGTTCAGGCCCTATGACAGACAAAAAAAAAAAAAGCATCTGGCTAAATAATGTAAACACAAGACAGATGAGAACCATAGGGGAAGACCTGCAGGGCAGAGTCCAGCATGGTCCAAAGGCAAGGAGCCCAAAGGACCATATGCACAGGCAGGACACACGGTGGTGCCAGCAGGAGCCACAGAGCCTTTCAACCTTCAATGTGCCTTGGCTTGAGTCTTCAACCTTCTATACAGGCGTGAGCCACCAGCGCCCAGCAAAATAAACAACTTCTATTCAATAAAAAATATCAAGCCTCATTAGAGGCTCATGCCTCTAATTCTAACTATTCAAGAGGCTGACATCTGAGGATTGCAGTTCAAAGCCAGCCCAAGTATAAATGTCCCTGAGACTCTTATCTACAATTAACCACCAGAAAAATGGAAGTGGAGCTGTGGCTCAAAGTGGTAGAGCACTAGCCTTGAACAAAAGAGCTCAGAGACATTGCTCAGGCCCTGAGTTCAAGTTCTATGACCAACAAAAAAGAAAAAGAAAAATACCATTAACTAATTTAAAAGGCAAATCAAGTTTGGAAAAAGACAATTGCTGCATTTGTATTTTTCCTCTAATAAAAAATTAGATCTAGGGCTGGGAAGGTGGCTCAGTGGTAGAGTGCTTGCCTTGCATGCATGAGGCCCTGGGTTCGATTCCTCAGCCCCACATAAGAAAAAAGAAAAAAGCCGGAAGTGGTGCTGTGGCTCAAGTGGTAGAGCACTAGCCTTGAGCTGAAGAGCTGAGGGACAGCGCCCAGGCCCAGAGTTCAGGCCCCATGACCGGACCCCCCCCCCCCAAAAAAAAAATTAGATCTATAATATTGAAAGCCTCTACCAGTCAACATTGAAAGAATATACAGTTTTTTTAAGAAATAGGTTGATGTCTTGAATAAATGTTTCACAAAAGAGGATCAAATTATCAACAAGAAAATGAAAGGGCATTGATAGCTTTAGTCATCAGGGACATGTATGTTAAAACTATGACAAGCCATCACCCATTCACATGGCAGTAACAGTAGTAATGATAATAATAGTTCATAAACTAGGTAATAACAAGTGCTGGTAAACATGTGGAGAAATACATTGCCAGTTGAAATATAAACTAGGGTGGCTGCTTTGGAAAACTGTTTGGAAGTTCTGCTAAAGATTAAAAATAGAGTTACTATATGATCCAAAAATTCTGCTCTTAGTTATGAAGCCAAGAAAATTAAAAACATACACCCATACAAAAATTTGTATAAATCAAACAGGGTGTCTCATGCTTGTAATCCCAGCTACTTGGAGACAGAGATCCAGATCATGGTTTGAGGTTAGCCTGGGCAAAAAGTTGATGAGACTCCATTTCAAGCAATACACTGGGCAGTGATGGTGCAATACCTGTAATCACAGCTATGTGGGAAGCTACAGATAGGAGGGTGGTAGTCTAAGGTCTGCCTGGGCAAAAACTCAAGACCTTAACTGAAAAATAACTATAGCAAAAGGATTGGAGGTAGAGAAACAACTGACTGGAAGTGCCAGGCCCTGAGATTCAACATCAGTACCACCAAAATACAAAAACCAAAAACCTTGTAAATGAATATCTGCAGCAGCATTGTTTACAATACATAGAAAGATGAAAAAACCTAAATGTCCATCAAAATACAACGTGACCTAGTCATACTATAGGATATACAACAGAATAATACTCAACAGTTAAAACAAATGAAGTACCAATACATGCTACAATATAGATAAAACTTCAAAAGTATGTTTATCAAAAGAGACCAGTCACAAAAGATCACCTATTGTATGATTTCATTTATATGAGATTTCCAGAACAGTCAAATCTATCACAATAGAAAATGGATTACTGGTTGTCAGAGTTAAGAGGAGTGCAGTAAAGGAAGAAGAGAAAAACAGTTGCTTTAGGTGGTGGTGTTGAGGGATAAAATGTTACAAAATTAGACTGTGGTGATGGCTTAACAATCTTTTTTGGTGGTGGTGGTGGTCATGGGACTTGAACTCAGGGCCTGGGTGCTGTCCCTGAGCTTTGTGCTTTACCACCTTGAGTCACAGCTCCACTTCTGGATTTTTAGGTGGTTAATTAGAGATAGGAGTTTCATAGAGTTTCCTGCCTGAGATGGCTTTAAACTGCAATCCTCATATCTTAGCCTCCTGAATAGCTAGGATTATAGGTGTGAGCCACTAGTGCCTGGCTGGTTTCACAATCTTATAAACACACTAAAAAATATCAACTTATACTTTGATCAGGTGAATTACATAGTATGTGGATTATCAGTAAACCAGTTAAAAAGTGGGGGCAATAGCCAGGTTGGTGGTTCAGACCTGTAATCCTAGTACTTGGGAGGTGGAGGCAAGAGGATTGAGGTTCAAGACCAGTCAGAGAGGAAAATCTGAGAGATCACTTCTTAACCAAGAGCTGGGCACTGGGTGTGGTGGCACATTCCTGTCACTCTACTAATTATGAGAAAAAAATCTAAAATAGATATATTATGACCTAGACCTGGACTAAGGTAGGAAGCAAGATCTTTTTTTTTTTTTTTTTTTTGGTCCTGGGGCTTGAACTCTGGGCCTGAGTGCTGTCTCTCAGCTCTTCAGCTCAAGGCTAGAGCTCTACCACTTAAGCCACAATGCCACTTCTGGTTTTCTGGTGGTTTATTGGAGATAAGAGTTTCACGGACTTTCCTGCCTGGGCTGGCTTTGAACCACGATCCTCAGATCTCAGCCTCCTGAGTAGGTAGGATTATAGGCATGAGCCACCGGCGCCCAGGTGGAAGCAAGACCTTATCTCAAAAACAACCAGCTTGTAAGGGGGCTGGAGGTGTGGCTACATGTTAGAGTGCCTGCCTAACAAACTCAAGGCCTTGAGTTCTAACCCCAGTACCACCAAAAAATGAACAATTAAAAAAAAAAAGCACATTTTTCAAGGAGATGCCCAGGTAGGCTTTCCCTCAGGCTAGAGACAAAATGTGCTGGATTATTCCAGAGTGGCTCTATCCAACAGAAATACAATGTGAGCCACATACATATACTAGTAGCCACATTAAAAAAGTAAGAAAAACATATAAAATTCATTTTAATAATATATCTTATTATGTCTAATATATCCAAAAGATCTTTTCCTTTGAACAAGCCAGCAATAAAAGTCATCTCAGTTTGGCCCAGCCATACTTGAAATGTCTAATAGCCCCATTTGATTGGTGGCCACCACATTGTACTGGAAAGTTCTAAAATCTGGCTCATGTTGGAAAATAAGGAAGAACACGGCATTTTGGGAAAATATCCACTTAGCATATCCTCACAGTTGTGAAGATGGAGATGACAGGAGTCATGCGTGGGAGGTGACCAGCACAGTCCCTGGCTCCTCTGCATAGCTCACAGACCAAGAAACATTAGCTCATCATTACAACATTGTCAACACTATTACATGTGGGGAAAACAGAAGGCAATGGGGAGAACAGAAGACAATGGGGAGAAGGCAGAAACCACTAGCTTGGGAGACCTCATTTCAGCTTTGAGGCTCTTTTCCCACGAGTAGCCTGCACACTCACCGGACTGGTAGGAGAGGAAACTCCGAGCTTCAGTCCAATTCTTCCATGGTCCGGGACTTTCTGCTGGCCACACCCTGGGCCAACTGTGGCACTGACAGGACTAGATGACTGCTGGTCTGACAGGCTCCCTGCAGAGACAGCTTGGGCCATGCCTGGCTGTTGCACATCCAGGGCACCTGGTTCTTGGGGGAGTGGCTCTTGCTTGTGACCGCCATGTTGGGTTGTAGAGGATGCTGAGGCAGGAAGGAGCTCTGCAGGCCCATCAAAGTGCAGCTGGGTGTTGGTGGCAGGCCTGAGGGACAGCGAGGACTGTGGTTTGAGGGTCTCTGTCTCTTGGTTTGGTCTGTTGCTTGGCATAGAGTTTACCTGGGCTTTGCTGAATTCTGACAATACCCTAGAAAATTTTTAAACAAAGAAAAACTTGTGTAACAGGCTGCTGGTTAGAATGCCTCATCTTTACTGAAACAGTGGGTAGAAATGAAAAACTCAGTTTCATGATTTAAAAACCAAACAACACAGCATTCTCTGTCTTTCTCTTTTTATTTGTTGTGCTGATCCTGAGGCTTGAATTCAGAACCTTGGTGCTGTCCCTAAGCTCTTTTGCTTAAGGTAGTACTCTAATACTTGAGTCACAACTCTATTTCCAACTTTTTGGTGGTTAACTGGAGATTAGAACATCACTGACTTTTCCTGCCTGGGCTGGATTTCAAGCACGATCCTCAGATCTCGGCCTCCCGAGTTGCTAAAATTATATGTGTAAACCACAGGCACCCAGTTTGCACAACAATCCCTTCATTACCTATGGCACTCCCTGGAGCCCACAAAGCCCTACTCTGATGTGCACAAAGGCAGGATTTAGGACCACTAGGTGGGCAGGGGACTTGTGCAGCACCAGTGTCAGATGAAAGGCTCACTTAATCTTCTGGAAATTGACCACCATTCTGAATAGGCAACATGGTTCTTGCTAAGGTCTCACTCTAAAACTGGATCACTGAAAAGAAGGCCAGTTACAGGGATGGATTTAGGGCTTTGTGCTCTGGTTTGGCACTTTTGCTCACAGCTGGTGCTTTATCACTTGAGCTATGTTTCTAGTTCTGGCTTTTCTGCTGGTTAACTGAAGATAAGAGTCTTTTGGAGGATTTGTCTGCTTAGGTTGACTGTATAAAGTGTTCCTCAGCCTCCTAAGTAGCTAGGTTTATAAGAATGAGCCACCGATGCCTAGGTTTATGAACAATTTTAAGTTGCAAATTATTTAACTATTATGGTCTGTAATCCTAACTACTTAGGAGGCTGAGGTCTAGTGGATCAGGATTCAAAGCCACCCAGCTCTAAAGTCCTTTAGATTCCATCTCCAGTTAACCAACAAAAAGCTGGCCTGGAGGTATAGCTCAAGTAGTAGCGCATTGGCTGTGAGCAAGAAAGCTGAGCAAGAGTTATGCCTTGAGTCAAAGCCCTGGTACCAGCAAAACAAAACAAAACCTAAACCAACAAAAATATCTATATATTATAATAAAAATAAAATAAAAAATAACTTATGCATGATGGTGTACACCTGTAATCCCAGCCCTTGGGAGGTTAAGGCTGGAGAATTGCCAGTTCCAGGTCAGTCTGGGCTACCCAGTAGAAACTCTGTAGCAAAGAAAACAAAAATAATAATAACCTAAGTGAACTCCAAGTGCCAATGAGAATCTTTAGCTCTCATAACATTTACTCTAAGAAGCATTTACTCTCTCAGTATGCTCAGACTAACTTTGAGGCCTACCTGTAAACATGATGGCCCTAGGTGTTTGTGCACCTGAGAGTTTATTGTTCCAAAGTTTGTTCACATCAGTATTCATCTGCACATTCTGACCCTTGTCTCTTGAGTTTCCTCACAAGACCCAGACTAATGCTTTCCATTAGTGGATGGTTAGTAATTCAATAACGTTACTCTGGAATTTTCTAGTCATAAGACTCATGAAAGATAAAGGCAAGGCACATGATACAGAGAAGCTGGCTGGTCTGTGAAGAAGGCAATGAACAAGCCCAGTTCTAACATGGCCAAAGGCCCAGCCATCTTTGGAAGCAGGACTGACATCTGAAAATACCATTGCATGCACTTGGTGTTCAGAAGCCATCTTTGTAGTCTAGCAGGTGTTCCCCCTGTATAGCTCACTGACAGGTGACTCATATGACCCTCAAAGGTCTGATCTGGGGATCCCTCAGTTTTTAAGATGAAGAAACAGCTTCAGAAAAAGCCAGAAATTTGTCTGATATTACTGGACTTAGAAGTAGAGGGACAAGCCAGGCGCCCGTGACTCACGCCTGTAATTCTAGCTACTCAGGAGGCTGAAGTCTGAGGATCACTGTTCAAAGCCAGCCTGAGCTGGCTTTGGAGATTCTTATCTCCAATAAACCACTCAGAAAACTGGAAGTGGCACTGTAACTCAAGTGGTAGAGCACTCGCCTTGAGCTGAAGAGCTGAAAGACAGCACCCAGGCCCCAGAGTTCAAGCCCCAAGACCAACAACAAAACAACAAAAAACCAGAAGTAGAGGAACAAGACTGGAAACCACCCCTATCCATATAGTTCCTGGAACAATTTTTCCTTGGCTCAACAATTTCACTAAACAAAGATACTTACATAAAAACTGAATGAAAGATCATTCATGCCCACTCAGGTATGGGCATAAATGCAGGGCTGATTAAATAACCAAAGCATATTTATGCTATGGAACCAGATGTAATAGAAGAAAATGAGTAAAGATGTAAGGCCCAGAACCAGGTATATACACTTCCTGGGTGGAAAAGGGGGATATGGAAAGAAGAAATATGAAGATCTGCCTATTTGTATCTGTTAAGACACATTTAGAAACTTTTGTTAGAATATACAAGAAATGAATAATTATGGAATGAAGAACAAGGCAGATAAGACACAGGAATGAGGAAGACTTCCTAATATATAACTTGGTAATTCAACCACAAATAGGTAACTGAAAATTAATCTTTAACAAGGTAATAGTGGCACATGCCTATTACTACTATTACTACTATTACTACTATTGATGTTACTAGCTACTCAGGAGGCTGAGATCTGAGGATCGGAAAGTCTGTGAGACTCTTATCTCCAATTAATCTCACACCAAAAAAAAAAAAAAAATTTGAAAAAAAGGTGGAAGTGGAGCTGTGGCTCAAGTGGTAGAGCATGAGCTTGAGCAGGAAACACTAAACGACACTGCCCAGGTCATGTTCAAACTCCAGTACCAGCACAAAAAAGAAAGCCAGAAAGGTGCCAGTGGTTCATGCCTGTAACCCTAGCTACTCAGGAGGTTGAGATCTAAGGATCGTGGTTCAAAGCCAGCCTGGCCAGGAAAGTCCGTGAGACACTATCTCCAATTAACCATCAGAAAACTGGAAATGGCACTATGGTTCAAGTGGTAGAGTGCTCACCTTGTGCTGAAGAGCTCAGAGACAGTGCCTAGGTCCAGAGTTCAAGCCCCATGACAAACCAAAAAAATAAATAAAAAATAAAATAAAATAAAATAAGGTGGCTATGTGAAGAAGGCTCTGTCCCAGGCTCCCTGCTCTGGTCCAGCGAGTCTGCCACACACTTGTTTGTTCCATTTGTGTCTGGATTTGTAACTCCTCTCCACCAGGTCTGGGCCTGGGCCCTGTCCCTCTGCTCCTCAGCTCAAGGCAAGCACTCAACCACTTGAGCCACAGTACCACTTCTGGTTTTCTGGTGGTTTATTGGAGACAAGAGTCTCACGAACTTTCTTGGTCAGGCTGGCTTTGAACCGCAATCCTCTGATCTCAGCCTCCTGAGCAGCTAGGATTATAGGTGGGAAGCACCAGTGTCTGGCTTCCCCGGGTCTTCTATGAGGCCACACCTTATGCACTATGCTTCTTTGCAATGTTATAATTTGTATATATGCTCTGAACTTCTAGCTTCCTCCATCTACATGCAGATGACATGAGCCTCAGAGAGACCAAGTAACTCGTTAATATCAGAGCTTATACCAGCTCTGAGCTCTTCCAATCCATTCCTCCTCCAACCCTGCCATGTTCTTCCATTATAGCAAGAAGTCATGAATCCTCTGATTTTTTTTTTTTTCAGGTAAGGGGTAGGTTTATTCAGTAGACCTGCTGAGACCAGGCAAGGTTGGCACTCCACGTGGCTGGGAAAGAGAGGAAAGAGAGAGGAAAGAGCTAGAGCAGAGAGAGAACAGAGAGAGCTAGAAAAGAAGAGCAAGAGAGCGTCTGGGAAAGAGAGGAAAGAGAGAGGAAAGAGCTAGAAAAGAGCAGAAAGAGGGGTAAGAACAGTAGTACTCACGTGGTATTCAGTAGACCTGCTGGGACCAGGCAAGGTTGGCACTCCACGTGGCTGGCAAAAGAGAGGAAAGAGAGAAAAGAGCTAGAAAAGAGCAGAGAGAGCAAGAAAAGAACAGAGAGAGAGCTAGAAACGAACAGAGAGAGCAGAGAGCTAGAAACGAACAGAGAGAGTCCTCTGATTTTTTTATATCCTAGCACATTGGCTGGGGAAGAGAGCAAAGATAAAGGGTGAAGAGAGGGAAGGAGGGCTGGGAAGGTGGCTCAGTGGTAGAGCGCTTGCCTTGCATGCCTGAGGCCCTGGGTTCGATTCCTCAGTACCACATAAGCAAAAGAAAAAAAAAAGCCAGAAGTGGTGCTGTGGCTCAAGTGGTAGAGCGCTAGCCTTGAGCTGAAGAGCTGAGGGACAGCACCCAGGCCCAGGGTTCAGGCCCCACGACTAGACACCTCCCCCCCCCAAAGAAAAAAAAAGAGGGAAGGAGGATGTGGGAAAAGATGCTTACTCTTGCAGAGATGGGTCAGAATCATCAACATTTGCTGTGCCTAGGTCTGAGTCGTAAGACATGGGCTCCTCAGAACGATCTGGGCTCTTGGACCCACTCTCTTGGAGCAGGCAGCTATCAGAGTTCAGGCTGCAGGACAGCTGGGATGAACTGGCTGTGTCTAGGCTGAGAGAGGAGGCAGTGAGCTCCCTGTTCCGCTGGATCTTATGGCCTGAGTGATGGACTTCAATGTCCTCTGAGCCTGAGGAGTGGGAAATTGAATCCAGAGACTCCTTCTGCTGTAGTTCTGCACCAGAGGTAGAGAGAGGCTCAAGCTCAGTGAGTGGGCAAAGCCCAGAGAGGGCCAATGGGGTGAGTGTCCATTCATTTAAGATGGCAGACTTGTAGGAGAGCTCAAAGGATAAGGATGTCAGTCCCTGAAGGAAGCTAAGGAGGAACTCGCCCTCCTCAGCGTCTCGCAGTAGGGCTGTTGGCTGATAGTACTCGCACAGTTGGGCCTGTTCCTGGAGGAGCAGTTTCAGGTAGCACTCCATCAGACCATCATTGAGGGCCAGCCTCAGCCAGGCCCGACAGCGGCCCACATCCGTGTTGACAAAGACTAGGTGCTCCAGTTCTGAGATGATGTGCCTGGAAAGAGAGTAGTTTTAAGATATTACTTCGAGCTGGGCGCTGGTGGCTCACTCCTGTATCCTACCTACTCATGAGCCTGAGATCTGAGGACTGCAGTTCAAAGCCAGCCTGGGCAGAAAAGTCTGTGAGACTTATCTCTAGTTATACCAGAAAACCAGAAGTAGAGCTGTGGCTCAATGTGGTAAAGTGCTAGCCTTGAGCAAAAGAGTTCAGGGGCAGTGTCTATGCCCTGAGTTCAAGTCCTACAATTGACCAAAAAAAAAAAAAAGAAAGAAAGAAAAGAAAAAGAAAAAGAAACAAAGAAATGACTTCAAATCCCTGAGATGTGAGATGTTTACTCTGTGGATTCGCAAGAATCTCTGATAATGACTGCAAACATATGTAGGCATAAGAAAATTCTTGGATAATAGAGGTTTAATGGAAATTAGAGTACCAAGCCATAACTGCCAATTTTTTTTTGGGGGGGGGGGGTCAGTGGTGGGGCTTGAACTCTTGGCCTGAACACTATCCCTCAACTCTTCAGCTCAAGGCAAGCACTCTACCACTTGAGCCACAGTGCCACTTCCGGTTTTCTGAGTGGTTTATAGGAGATAAGAGTCTCACGAACTTTCCTGCCCGGGATGGCTTTGAACCGAGATCCTCAGATCTCAGCCTCCTGAGTAGCTAGTTTACAGGTGTGATACCAGCGCCGGGCTTTTTGCTTTTTTTTTTTTTTTTTTTAATGCTGGTATTGGGGCTTGAACTCAAGGCCTGGCCTGGGTGCTGTTCCACAGACTTTTCGCGCAAAGCTGGCACTCTGCCACTTGATCTATACCACCACTTCTAAGCTTTTTTGGTGCTTAGTGGGAGATAAAAGTCTCACAAGTTTTTTTCCCCCAGCTTGCTGGCTTCAAATTGTGATCCTCAGATTTCAGCCTGCTGAGTAGCTAGGTTTACAGGTGTAAGCCATTGATGCCTGGCTTCCAACTTCTTACAGTGGTGTTGTGAAAGATAATTACCGTGTTCATTACACATTTACAACTCCTGGGACCCCCAAGACATGTTTGCTGAGCCCCCCATGCTCCTAGGTCCCCTGGAGCGGGGCCAATACAAGGTAAAGACATGGTCCCTGCTCTTGGTCCAGAACATTGCTTTGCTTATCCTTCCTTTCCCTCTTCCTTTATTTTCTTTTGGGGGACTAGGGAATGGACCCAGGGCCTTTTGCATGCTAGGCAAGTGCTCTATCACTGAGCTTTCACTTCCATCCCCTAGTAACTGCCATTCAAGAGTACATAGAGCCTCTTTGTTGGTAGTGGGTGAAAGGCTGGCGCATTTCTAAGTTAGAGTAAGAAAAGTACCACAAAAAGGTTAGTATCTGAGTTGGACCCTGAAGGCTTTCTAGAAGCAAAGAATGAACCTTTTAGGCATAATGCACTGAAAGAAAAAAGACATAAAGAGTAGGAAGGCAGCAGACCTGTAACAGGAGTGGGACCACTCCAATTACAACAGGTAGGGAGTGGGGATAGGGAGTAGTAGTTAGGTTGCAAAGCTAGGTAATGAAGGGACTTGAATATCACACCAATAAGGTCACATGGAGCAAAGGTTCCCTTACCCAGATGTGTAGCAGAAGCCCCTAGGGAACTTAACTGGATACAGATCCAGGGACCCCAATTTAGTGACAGGGTAGTATTTGGGAATTAAACATTTCTGTACAGGTAAGGTACCTAACACAGCTATTTATACTCAGGATAAGGTTAGATCCTAGGGGTACTAAACTCAGTTTAGTACTGAATCCCTTTGTCTGACATAAATGGCACCCTGCTTTGGCACAGGGCCTTGGGTGTGCCTCAAGTGTGGGAGTGCAGACCACACCCCTTTGGATTGTGTGGCTGAGTTCTAGCTAGCTTCAGCTCAGCATATGCAGACCTAAGGAAACACAGAATGAGATAGGGGACAATTAGCCACTATCACCTGGGAGAGAGGTAAATACTTGAGCTAGGGCAGTGACAGTGGTCAAGGAAAGCAGATCAGAGGATGACAAAGCACCTTCAGGCTAAAGGTGACATTTAATACCCCTTAGAGTCACAGTGCCAGCAACTTGGGCAGGCAGGGGTAAGGTCAAAGCCAGGGTCTCAGGGTGAATATTCAGGTATTTTACCTGGATTCTATTTTTTATAAAACTTCTAAACATTACTATGAATATACATATGTACACATACACAGACACACACACACACATATATATACACATATGTATATATATGTATATATTTTAGAACACAGGTTTTTAAAGGTTTGGCAACTTTTTCTATAAAAGGCCAGAGACAGCAAGTGTTTTTGGCTCTGAAGGACACATAAACTCTGTTGTAACTGCATAATTCTGACAGGTCACTAACCCTTGGTGAGAAGCAGCCACAGGCTCTGGCCTGAAGGCCCAGGTTTGTCAAGGTCTTATGGCTGGCTGGACAGTCAGGTCTGGTGGGAGATAAACCTTTCCTTCAGGTGCTCTCCCGCCCTACCTCACACTGTCTCTACACTAGAACACAGCCCATCTGTTGCCTTCTGCAGAGCTGGGGAGGAAGAGCCCAGTGTCCCACACCAAAGTTCCTCCCCAGAGCAAAACCTCTCCAGCTGATCTCACTTGTGGGTGACAGCTTTCAGGAGGGGCCAGAAGACAGGCTGAGGCAGAGGCTTCTGGTGTACATGTTTCTTCCTTTTGCCTCCAGCCTCAGCACGAATGTGCTTGGCGTGCAGGCCATGGATAAACACAGCCTCCAGGGCACTGCACATGATGTTGGCATCGCTGTCTTCACTTGTGACCACCGTATCCAGTGACACATACTGCTTCTGAAGTGCTTTCACGGATCCTACCAGCTTCTTCTTGATGACCTAGGCAGTGCCACACAAAAGACATCTTTAGAAGAAAATCCTACAGTTCCTAGACTATAACCCTTGGCCTGTTGCTCAATTCCTGTGCAACCACATTACACACTCACCAGTGTACAGATTCCTTCTTAAAAATTAGTACCTGTTAATTATACTAAATAAAGATAGAGAAGAACTCGTTTTGCAGATTTTTTGTTATAAATTCTTTTCATTTTCAAACCAAAGTTCATTAGATTTATAGTCCTATAATCTAGTGTTTAAATACTGGCTCCAGTACAGGCACAGCTACCTGGAGACTGGGTAAGACAAGGGTGAGGTTTCTTAGCTGATTAACATCACCAAGGTTCTGTAGAGGTAAGCAAAGGTATAAAAAGTACTGCACTAGGGCTGGGAAGGTGGCTCAGTGGTAGAGTGCTTGCATTGCAAGCCAGAGGCCCTGGGTTCAATTCCTCAGCACCACATAAGCAAAAAGCAAAAAGCCGGAAGTGGCGCTATGGCTCAGTGGTAGAGTGCTAGCCTTGAGCTGAAGAGTTGAGGGACAACGCTGAGGCCCAGAGTTCAGGCCTCACGACCGGACCCAAAAAAAAAAAAAAAAAAAGTACTGCACTAGAACACCAAAAATACCCAGAAATGGCTGGAGGTATGGCTCAGTGGTAAGAGAGTATGCTTAGCATCATGTTAAAAATACAGAAGTGCTGTTATATTAGGAAAAATCCAAGCCAGACACCAGTGGCTCAGACTTGTAATCCTAGCTACTCAGGCTGAGATCTGAGGACCATAGTTTGAAGCCAGCCTGGGCAGAAAAATCTGGGGGAGTCTTTTGTCCAAGTAATCAGCAAGAAACCTGAAGTGGGGCTGTGGCTTAAGCAGGAGAGTGCCAGCTTTGAGCAAAACGAGCAAACAAGAATACAAGGCACTGATTTCCAGCCCCAGTAGCAGAGTGCCCATGCGTATGCATACACCAAGGCCTCAGAACCAAAGGGTTAGATTCAGTCTCAGATCTGTCAGTAACAAGTTGGAGCACCTCAGACATTTCACTTTCCCTCTCTGAGCCTCAACTTCTTCATCTATTAAGTAAAATAATACTTCTGAATCATGGCACTAAGGGCATTGCTACTTGAGGGTAAAACGAGTTGTTAATTCATCATCCTGTCCCCAATACTTAGCCTGGAACTTGTAGGTACATGTAATGAATATATTACAAAATGTAAAGTATTTTGGATTTGTAAATATTACTCAATTATAGCTATAAGTATGTTAAAACTACAGAAAGGATTGCAGAAAATTTGGTTTGACATGAATGATGGGCTTATAGGTAAATATTTTACTCCTTTTTTTGACTCTAGCCCAAATACTAAGTGTAAAATTCTCTGGAAAGCTAAAATTAAAAAAAGTTAATTAAAACTAACAAGCCATAGTTCACAGATCATAAAATTCACCCATTTATATGATGGGGCTTAATAATTTTTAACTTACTTAGAGAAGTGTGCAACCTTCACCACTGTCTAATTTTAGGCCATGTTCTTCATTCTCAAAAGGAATATTCTGAGCTGGGCACTGGTGGCTCATGCATGTAATCCTAGCTACTCAGGAAGCTGAGATCTGAGGACTATGGTTTGAAGCCAGCCTGGGCAGGAAAATCTGTGAGACTCTTATCACCAAAAACAAGCTGGAAGTGGCGCTGTGGCTCAAGCGGTAGAATGTTAACCTTGAGCAAAGGAAGCTCAAGGACAGTGCCTAGGCCCTGAGCTCAAGCCCCATGACTAACAACAGAAGATTTTTTTTTAAAAAAAAGGACTATTATATATTAGTGGTTGCCAGGGGCTGTAGAAGAGGGTAATTGGGAGTGACTGTAGTCATTAATCTACTTTCAGTCTCTATAGATCTGCCTGTTCTGCACAATTCCTATGAATACATTCACATAGTGTGTGATCTTTTATGTCCTGCTTCTTTCATTTAGCATAAGTGTCTTAAGGTTTATCTAGGCTTTAGAATATATCATGATTTCATTCTGCTCCCTTTCTTTGTGCTGGTACTGGGGCTAGAACTCAGGATCTCTTGATTTTGCTTAGTTTCACTCAAGGTTGGTACTTTACCTCTTGAACCAAACCTCCACTTCTGCTTTTTTGCAGGTTGAGATTGGAATCTCAAGGACTTTCCTACATCAGATGGCTTCAAAGTGCAATCCTTCAGGTCTCAACCTTCTGAGAAGCGAGGATTACAGATGTGAGCCACTGCCTGCTGGCAATTTTCCCACATTTTTGTTAAACTTGTTATTGTCGTCTTACTCACTAGCCATCCTAGTGGACATAAAGTAGTACCTCATTCTAGTTTTGATTTGCATTTCTCTGAACCAAATGGTAGTAAGTATGTTTTTGTATATATACTGGTCATTTATCTTCTTTGCAGAACTATCTGTTCAAATCATTTGTCCATTTTCAAATTGGAGTTATCTTTTTTTCTTTTTTTCCCCAGTCATGGGGCTTGAACTCAGTCCCGGGCACTGTCCCTGAGCTTTTTTGCTCAAGGTTAGCACCCTACCACTTGGAGCCAAAGCACCACTTCTGATTTTCTGATGGTTAACTGGAAATAAGAATCTCGAGGGCCAGCACCAGTGGCTCTTGCTTGTAATCGTAGCTACTCTGGAGGTTGATATTGGAGGATCTGAATTGGAAGTCATTCAAGCTTTGAGTATCTTTTTTTATAACTGAGTTACAACAGTTTTATAGACCTGCTAAGATAATCTTCTCTTTTTGTATACTCTGTCTTTTCACTTTCTTAAGTGTCCTTAGAAGCACAAAAGGTTTTAACTTTTTTTTTTTTTTTGGTTGTGGGGCTTGAACTTTGGGCTTGGGTGCAGGCCTTGTGCACAGTGCCACTTCTGGTTTTCTGAGTGTTTTTTGGAGATAAAGAGTCTAACGGCCGGGGCTGGCTTTGAGCAGTGATCCTTAGATCTCAATCTCCTGAGTAGCTAGGATTACAGGCGTGAGCCACCGGGTGACTCGACAAGGTTTTAATCTTAAAAGTCCAGTTTTAAATGGTTTTTTAATGGGAGATATTATTGGCTTATATTAAAAGTACAGGGCTGGGAATGTGGCTTAGTGATAGAGTGCTTACCTAGCATGCATGAAACACTGGGTTCAATTCCTCAGTACCACATAAACAGAGAAAGCCAAAAGTGGCACTGAGGCTCAAGTGGTAGAGTGCTGGCCTTGACCAAAAGAAGCTCAGGGATAATGTCCAGGACCTGAGTTCAATCCCCAGGACTGGAAAAAAAAAATAAAGGATAAAAACTATAAACTACTTCCAACTGAGTGAGGCTAAATAGGCACACACTCTCAAGAAAGCCATACCCTCAGGAGATCAGTCCAAGTAAGACTTTGCTAGAAGGCTAAGCCGATCTAGGTTTAGGGCCAGGTCCCAGATCAGGAGGAAAGGGGAAAGGAGTTTGCTTGAAAGCCAGAAGGGAAACAGATGGTGCTGTCCTCTAGTGACCAGCAGAGGAAATACATAGTATGTGTGTAGATCAGTAGGTGGAATGCACACTGTGGGGGTGGGGGTGGGGGAGTTTGCATACCCAAACCTGGGCAATGTCCCTGAACTTTTTATGCTGGTGCTCTACCATTTCAGCCACAGCTCCACTGAGCTTTTTAATGGTTAACTGGAAATAAAAGAGTCTCAAGGACTTTCCTGCCTGGGCAGGCTCTGAATTGTGATCCACAGGTCTCAATCTCCTGAGTAGCTAGGATTACAGGTATGAACCACCAGCACCTGGTTCAGAATGTTTAGTTGTTTTTTTCTTTTTCTTTTTTGGCCAGTCCCGGGGCTTGAACTCAGGGCCTGGGCACTGTCCCTGAGCTTTTTTGTGCTCAAGGCTAGCACCCTAGCACTTAAGCCACAGTACCACTTCCGCCTTTTTTTGTTTATGTGGTACTGAGGAATTGAACCTAGGGCTTTGTGCATGCTAGGCAAGCACTTTACCACTAAGCTACATTCCCAGCCCAGAATGTAGACTTCTTAAGGCTATAGTTCTTCTAGCATCAAGTTTTCTAAGTGGAGAAGAAAGAAAAATCTTGGCTTCTACCACAAAAGTCATGTCAGCATCAGTGTTACTAAGCCTTCAATTTGCTCTCTCTCCAAGGGAACTGTGTCAATCCAGAGAGCAGAGTTCTCCAAGAAAGGGGAAAGAGGATCTGAAGAGCTCTGGTGAATGGTCACTAACAGCTGTTTGAAAACTGGTAAGTGTATATAAGCTGCCACTGTACCCTATGAGAGAAACAAAAGACCAATGCTGGGAGTAGCTATTTTTGACCAAATCAGTGCCTTGAACAAACTGACCTAACTACAGACTGAGGCAGAAGGCTGTATAGAAATCCCTGGTCTAGCTGGGCGCTGGTGGCTCATGCCTTTAATCCTAGCTACTCAGGGTCTGAGATTTAAGGATTGTGGTTCAAAGCCAGCCCGTGCAGGAAAATCCGTGAGACTCATCTCCAATTAATCACCAGAAAACCAGAAGTGGTGTTGTGGCTCAAGTGATAGAGTGCTAGCCTTGAGCTGAAGAGTTCAGGGACAGTGCCCAGGCCCAGATTTCAAGCAAAAAAAGAAGAAGAAGAAAAAGAAATCCCTAGTCTTCCAGTAAACCACCTTGAATTGCCACTGTGCTTTACAAACACAAGCAAACTTAAAGGGAGGATTTCCTCAGAGCTTCTTTTGCTGGAAAACTTTTCTCTACCTGGGTGCTTTGTGGATAGTATCTATTCATTTCCAAGAGAAAAGCTGATGATGCAATGGCAGCTCCCTGTAGCCCTTCCCAGCCTTGATCCTCTGGTGTCCACTTACCGGGATGACAGCCCGGGACTCCAGTCCATTCTCCACCACTGAGAGCATTTCCACTCAGGCAGCTGCTCCCGAAGAGACTCACATGTCACCTGCAGGGTCAGATGGTAGCAGATGAGCATGCTCTCGAGGTCCCTTACAACCACAGTCCCCTCCCAGCATGTAGCAGGCAGGCAGCCCAGCTCACTCAAATTGCAACCAAAAGGAGTTTTTTATCTTTTTCTTTTTTTTTTTTTTGCTAGTCCTGGGGCTTGAACTCAGGACCTGGGCTCTGTCCCTGAGCCACTGTGAGCTCAAGGATAGCACTCTATCACTTAAGCCACAGTGCCACTTCTGGCTTTTTCTGTATATGTGGTACTGAGGAATCAAACCCAGGGGTTCATGCATGCAAGGCAAGCACACTACCACTGAGCCACATTCCCAGCCCAGAAAGGGATGTGAACAACACAAAAACAAAAACTGAGAGTAGATTTTAAGGAAATGAGGAAGGAAAAAGCCAGAGGTTGGCTCCTTAGGAGGCAAGAAGTCCTATGTGCCAGGAGTGGGTGATAACAGCTCTCTACACCAGAAGCTGCATAGAAAACCAGGACTGGTGGGATAGTGGTGGGAGCCAAGGAACTAAAGACAACTTTAGGGCACAAGAGGGTTGCTTCAGTTAAAGGTGCCAAGAACTAGTGGGGACCAGTTAGCAGGAACTCATAATTCATATTCAAAGCTTGTGTCCAATATCAGTCCCCAGGTCCTGTCCTAGTTCAGGGTACGCCAACTAAGCGGTAGAAGGTATAACCAAAGCAGCTTTAAACAAAGAGTTCTTGCCAGGCACCAGTGGCTTACACCTGTACTCAGGAGGCTGAAATCTGAGGATCATGGTTTGAAGCCAGCTTGGGCAGAAAAGTCCCCATGAGACTCTTATCTCCAATTAACCATTCAAAAACTGGAAGTGGCACTGTGACTAAGTGGAAGAGTACTAGTCTTTAGCACAAAGAGACTCAGGGATAGCTCTCAGGCCCTGAGTTCAAGCCCCACAACCCACCAAAAAATAAAAAAGAGTTGTCACACTTTTGGTTCTTCACATCTAATGGACTCAGAACAGTTCTGATCACAATAGGCCACTAACTAGCAAGTTATGCTGGCCCAGCACCAGATCACTCAGGTTGACAGTCTGACAATGAAAAGCACCCAGCACTGGCTCTAAAGCATTCCAACTATTAATGTTATCTATAATCCCAGTGGATGTAACCATCCAAATCCAGAAGCGAAGAATTCCATTGCCATTCATTCAATCCCTCATAACAGCCCGCTTTGGCCCAAGCAACTTGGCTACACAGGCTTACTTACACCTAAATAAATCTTTAGGGAACAGTCTGCTGAGCATCAGGGGAATTTTTAAAGGTTATGATTGCTGCTGGGTGTGGCTGGCTCATACCTACAGTAATCCTAATCAACTCAAGAGGTTGAGATCTGAGAATTGGAGTGTGAAACCAGTCCAGGCAGGAAAGTCAGTGAGACTCTATAATTAAGAACTAAAACGCCAGAAGTGGAACTGTGGCTCAAGTGGTGGAGTGATAGCCTTGAATGAAAAAGCACAAGGACAGATCCAAGCCCTGAGTCTAAGCCACACACAACACAGATACCACCACCACCACCACCACCAAAAACAACAAAACAAAACCAAAAACCATTATGGTTGTTTCTACTTTCAAGTAATTATGGCCCAGAGAAGTTAATACAATATTAAGAACAGTTACATGGATGGCCACATTTATATCTTTGTAATTGTCCTAGGAATACCATTTTATTATCCTTACCTGATAGATAAGGACATGGAAGCTGACCCAGGTCAAGGAACTAACACAGATGTCATGGCGGAGAATAACTTAGCTCCTATGCCAGTCACCAGAGCAATGCCAAACCTAGATCAAAGGAAAACCAAGTCTTGAATGATTGTAGGACTCAAAGGATAGACTCCCACACTTTGGCTGGGAGTCCAGGAAGAAGGTGTAGGAAAAATATTAAGGCCAGTCTGGCAAGCAAGGTTTACAGGAGAGTAGGGAGCATGAGATCAGGGAAAGAGAGAACAGTGTCGCCCTCAGTGAAGGAGTGGAGTTAGTCTTTGAGGCTGGCAGAGAGTAAAGAGGGCACAAGGAGTTAGGACTTAGAGTGGAGCTTCTAAGACATGTCACATAGAGGGAGCAGGTATGTGTGGAGCATGGCTTGTGCAGATGGCCTGGGAGAGCCCTTGGATCAACTGCAGCCCCTGCTGACTCCTCACCCTTCCATCCAACACCGGCTCCATACTCTAGTCACTAGGACGATGGGAAGAAGAGTATGTAATGTGGCCAAACTGTCATACTTGGCAATACTCCTGGTCTTTGAGATTAGGTTCTTCCCAGGTTGAGCAGCCTACTAGGTAAAATTCAGCCTCTCTGGCTCCAAGATCTTGGGTTCCAACTCCGACATACAGTTCCAGTGGTCCAAGCCTCTCCTTCAGGCCTGTCTTTCTACACAGAGTCTTTAAGCTCCAGAGGTGCCTTTCCCTCAGCCAGCTACACAAACAGGACCCTGAGGCATAGACCTTAACAATCTAAACAAGAACCTAGGTCCAGAAAGGCCTCATTAACTAATAAGCTGAGAATATTCATTGGGGAAGTCTATCAGTAACAGTAGTTCTGCCTAAATTAGTCTGCTAACAACCAAAAACAAAGTGAAGCTAAGAGGAGTCAAAGCAGGGAGGGCTTCACAAAAGACAACCGATAGTTGCCTAAAATTAAGGGTTAAAAAAGCCACAAAGCCGGGCGCTGGTGGCTCATGCCTAGCTACTCAGGAGGCTGAGATCTGAGTATCATGGTTCAAAGCCAGCCCGGGCAGGAAAGTCCATGAGACTCCTATCTCCAATTAACCACCAGAAAACTGGAAGTGGCACTGTGGCTCAAATGGTAGAGTGCTTGCCTTGAGCTGAAGAGCTCAGGGACAGTGCCTGAGCCCAGAGTTCAAGCCTCACGACTGACCCCCCCCCCCCCAAAAAAAAAAAAAGCCACAAAATGTCTGACTTGCTCATCTTGAGTGACTCCACATGGATTCAGGAATCCAGAGTAGCCATTTCACAATTAGGACCAAGAATTTGGGAATTAGACCACAATTCAGGACAATATTTTTTTAATTGTTATTGTAAAGGTGAAGTACAGAGGGGTTATAGTTATATAAGTCAGGTAATAAGGACCTTTCTTCTTTCTTTCTTTCTTTCTTTTGCCAGTCTTGGGGCTTGAACTCAGGGCCTGAGCACTGTCCCTGAGCTTCTTTTTGCTCAAGGCTAGCACCCTACCACTTGAATCACTGCACCAATTCTGGCTCTTTCTGTTGATGTGGAACTGAGGAATTGAACCCAGGGTTTCATGCATGCTAGGCAAGCACTCTACCACTAAGCCATATTCCCAGACCATAAGTGCATTTCTTTTTGAAGAGTGTCACCTCTTCCCTTGTTTTCTACCTCCCGATGGCCCCCTCCCCCAGGACAATACCTTACCTATTCACATTTATGCTACCATGCTTTGGGGAGGCAGAAATGTGACATCAATGATATAAGAATGCACTGATAGAGCTGGGAAGGTGGCTCCAGTGGTAGAGTGCTTGCCTTGCATGCATGAGGCCCTGGGTTCGATTCCTCAGCACCACATAAGCAAAAAGCCGGAAGTGGCGCTGTGGCTCAAGTGGTAGAGCGCTAGCCTTGAGCTGAAGAGCTGAGGGACAGCACCCAGGCCCAGAGTCCAGGCCCCACGACCAGATCCCCCCCCCCCAAAAAAAAATTAAAATAAAAAAGGATGCACTGGTAGAAATGGAACAATGCTTTACTTTTTTTTTTTTTTTTGGGTCCGGTTGTGGGGCCTGAACTCTGGGCCTGGGCGCTGTCCCTCAGCTCTTCAGCTCAAGGCTAGCGCTCTACCACTTGAGCCACAGCACCACCTCCAGCTTTTTTCTTTTTGCTTATATGGTGCTGAGGAATTGAACCCAGGGCCTCATGCATGCAAGGTAGGCACTCTACCACTGAGCCACCTTCCCAGCCCCGGAACAATGCTTTAGACTTCTGGAGTGAACCATTATCCACCTGGTGGCTCAGACCCTGAATCTACCACTGTATAAGACTAGGGTCACTTTCTGTCCTTAGAATATTTTTCATTAACACTAGGAACATAGCAGAGGCAGGTACAGCTTCCACGACAGCTACACTGATGGGAAAAAGGAAAGAGCTTGTGCATACTACAGGGGCTCATTGACATTACTTAGGATAGCAGAAGAAAGGCAACTCCTACTATATCTAGGAAATCTCAAATGGCACCAGCTCTACTGACACTGCAGGCATCATTTCACTCTTCTTCAGTGATCAACGCTTTCCAGAGTGAACAAAGCAAGCTTCTTGGATCTCATTTTTCAAACTCATTGAATTCTTTGGATAATCCTGTGAGACAGTTCTCTCAACTTTACAGAAGAACAAACAGAGGCTCATTAAAAACAAGCCTGAAGTAAGAGACAGAATTATCTGCTTTCCTCACTCCCTTTACCAGATCAACCTGTCTCTGGACTCGAGTTTGAAAATTTTCAGACCAACTATTACCTAGACTTTTCAGAGGTACTGAGACGCTCCATCATATTGATTAAGGCCTAAAAGACGACACAGCCTTGGCTAGCATAATCAGAACCCCAACCAGCTAAGCCTAGGTCCTTCACATGGTACCCAAGTTTCAAAGCTGTCCTTTCTTAAATGTTCTATATATTTTTTTCTGGCTGTTTTTCTTCATCATATTACTTGTCTTTCTATATATAGTAGGTCTGATTTCACTTCCTCCAGACTCCCAGGAATGAAAGAAAAACAAATGGCTTAAATGAGACTTACATTAAAAGAAATGATTAACCTTCAAGGATCCCAAAACACCTCCTTAGAGACTTCTCAGCCACTCCCAGCAGCTTGTCTCTACTGCCTGAATTTTGAACCTGGCTAAAGAACAACAGGCAGGCCTTTATGCCATCCAGCTGCTGCCCTAACTGATGAGTCATGGTATTACAGTTGGAAAAAAATGACAAAGTTATCTTCTGATTCAAAAAGGCAGCTGGTCATTCAGACATGTGAGTGCTGAGTAAACATTACCTCTTTCCATTTGAAGAAAGTTCGATTTTTGGGTAAGTGTTATGGAAGAGTTCGTGGGGGAATGTGGCAATAATAAGGCCTCTGAAGCAACAGCTTCTAGCTCATGATTCTTGGGCTCCAATGATATCCCATGGCCAAAAGCCTCTCCTTCAGGTCCAATGTTCTAGACAGACCCTTAAGCTCTACAGTTACCCTCCTTACGTTACCTACAGGCCTGGTCCCTGAGGCTTAGACCTCAACAATCTAAGAGTCTGGGTCCTTTAAGGGCTTATTAACTGGCTGTCTGAGCAGAACTGTGAGGCTGGGAAACCCTGATATCTTCTTTCTTCTATTGTTCCTTCCATTCCCATCTCCCCCATATTCTTGTCCCATAGGCCATAGTATTCTAAAAAGAAGCAAACTACAAATAAATGAAAACAAGAAATGCACGACTCATTTACCATTACATTCTCATTACTTGGAACAGTGCTTGGCACACAAAAATACTAAAAAAACACAAAAAACTTGTTGAATGACTTGATGATTATACACGTGCCAGGCACAGGGAAGGGACATCATTTCACAGATTGGGAGACTGAAGTGTACCATTCTGATGTGGTGGAGCTACTGTGATACTACTGCCTTTAAACCAAGCTGTGAATCAAGTTATCAATAAACTGTGAGCTAGACAGAAGACAGAACCCAAAATGGAAGGATTGTACTGAAGGTAGAACTGCATTCAGCTTTCAACGAAAGAGAGTATGGACAATGAATCCTTTAAAATTACCATTGTAGCTGGAGGGGGGGGGTTGGATATGGGTATCTTATATGAGTGGTAATGGTTTTGCCTGAGTTCTTCATCACCAATAACAATAACAACATATACACATAAACACACACAAGCCTCAACTGGCTGATCTCTATATAACCAGGTCATCAGAATCCAGAGGAAAAAGTACAGCAAAAGTCCTCAGGAGACTCTAAACACTAAAGTAGGAGGAATTCCGGTGACTTACTGAGAGATAATTCAGTTTCCAGTGCTCATGGAACCCAAATGGCTAAAACTCAAGTTCCAGCACCTACAAAAGAAGGGAGCAATTCAACAGCTTCTTGTATCTATTTGGGTCTCAGCCTCCCCAGAACACTCATCTATAATCTCCCCAACATACACCATGCCTCTGGCCCACATCATGTTTGACTGGTTCGAAATCAGCACTAGCACAGAAGAGCATTGGGAGAAGGTTCTTCATAAGTGCCAGGATAAGACACATGGACATGGCTCTGTGATACCCACAAAGTGGCATTCCCTGAAATTCTGCAGGGCCAGAACACCAGCAAAAGGAAGTGATGGCTTCCACTGCCCCAGGCAGAGTGAACTGGGTGAGTGGCCATATCTCTAATCTTCCAGGTATTCAAATGACTCCCTTCCAACACTCAGCACACATACCTTAATATGAATGCCATAAGAGCATCACTGGGGACAAGTACATAAGACCACACATGGCAGGGAGTGGGAATTTGGGCCCCCAAAGAGGGGAGGGGAACCTCTAGTTCTTCACATTCACTTACCATGTGAAAGAAACACACACACCAGTCAGGCTTTTCTAACTGTAATATGAAGCTCTTGTTAACAGGGGCTGTACACTAAGTTTTCAGATTGAATGAGATTTGGGCCAAGTGATGAATGGACAGAGTTGAGGCACAGAGTTGTCACAGGGGACAGTAGAGGGGAAAAGGACATAGAGATCTCGTTGTTAACAAGATTAGGTGTGGTGGTAGGAACTGAGGCAGTAAGAGTTGGGGACAGTTTAGCAATGACTTAGGGAAGGAGTGTTCTCAGGATAGTAAGAGAGGAAAATGAATTAATTATGAGTTGAACGAGGAAGTTAGGAGTCAAATCTGTGAGGCGAGAAGACAGCTATTAGAGCTAGGTTAAAGGCAAAGGTCACAGTTGACAAGAAAGGGATGAGTTCCACAGGGCACTGACTTTCTTCAATGAGAAATGGGCAGAGGTAGGGTGTTTGAGCGGAGTAAATCTTGGGGGATATGAGAGGATGTGGGAGACTCAGATCAGAAAGCTGACCCGGAAAAGCAGAAACCCGAATGGAAGGTCGGGGGGGGGGGTGGTGGAGAAGACCTGGGCAGAACACTAGGTTTGCCAGAGAGGGTTCAGAGGTAAGGCTGAGTGAGGTAAGGGATGGAAAAGGGCTGTGGCCCAGAGCGGGTTGCAACCAGGCTAAGGAAGGCGTCAGGGGCGGGGGCGCACCTAAGAGCGGTAGTGAGCGCCGAGGTCCTCTTAGGAGCCGGTGGGGCACCTGTCAGCAGCAGGTGGGCGCACGGAGGGCTAGGGCTAGGGCGGGTGTGGGGCGCAGCTTCGGAAGAAGGGCTGAGGGCTCGGAAAGCCAGGCTGTCTCCAGGCAGCGAGGGAGCCCAGGGAAAGCAGGGAGATGCCCGCCGCCCATTCACCTGGCGGCCCTGCCACCCCCGTAGGCCGCTTACAACTCACCGAAGAGCGCAGAGTAAGGGAGCCCGACGCTGCCTGCCGCCGCAGCCCCACCGCAAGACCGCGAACCCCGCGGCTTCCCGGCCACCGACAACAGGAAGCCGCGCCACTGCGCCTGACGCCATCACATTGGCTCCGCACTGAAGTGCCGCCTCCGGAAGGCGGAGCCACTCATGAGGTCCGAAGCAGACGCGGGGCGGGGCCAACCGCCTTCCTCACCGGGGGCGGGGCCAACCGCCTTCCTCACCCCGGGGCGGAGCCAACCGCCTTCCTCACCGGGGGCGGGACCCGGGCCTTCAGCCCGCGACTCTATCTCTGCGTCCCGGCGCCCCTACCAGGCCAGGCCCAGGCCCACGGAGCCGGGGACGACGCGTTCCCCACGCCCAAAGCTCGCTGGTCCGCGCCAGCCGAGATCCCGACGTCTACAGGACTTTTTTTTATCTCGCTGGATCTCAGCACCAACTACGCGACATGGGAGCCAAGGACCAACCCTCCTCCGACCGCCTCCCCGAGGGCCACGGCGCCGCCCTGTGGGCAGAACCGAGGGAGCCGAGGCCCAAGTCCCAGCCTCCCCTGGCTGGGCTCTCCGGGGTCTGAAAAACACCTGCTTCATCCTCACCTTGTCCCAGAAGATGGCCCCGAGGCTCCCCTCCCGTGTGCCCCTGGCCGGCCCGCCCCTCCTCAGCCCCTCGGGGCACAGAGCCCAGGGCCCTCCGCTCCTCTTCTGACCACATTTCCTTCCTGTGGAAGAGATGACATGGCCCTTCGCAAAGGAAGCAGAAAGAAACTGGAAAGCGGCGCCTTGCAGCCAGCAAGTTCTCTTCATGTTAAACCCTTTTTAGACAAAGTGAGAAGGAGTGAGTTTTCTTGGGGCATCTTGACAAAAGGATAGAGTTTCTGGCATAACCGGCACCAGCCCGAGCATTGGTGACTTGACAGTGAATAATTGCTTTGGGGGACTAGGAGCTCTCTACCCTTTTGGTCTCTGTCTGCATTTGTTGAGATTATTTAGGATTAATCACTTTTTTTTCTGTCCTAAGGCTTGGAAAAATCAGTCTCTAGGGAGGACAAAAGGTAGAAATTCATTCAGGTAAGCGTTTTGCAGGGGAATCTCAGTGTCAAGACTATTATTCTTCGTCTGTGTGCATCCCTAACTACTTTTATGCTTTTTGATAGCTCTCTTCTAGGATATTTTAGGTGATATGTATCTTTTCCAATTCAAATGGACCCTTGATAGAATAGAATCCTTCAGGTGATATAAATCTTTCCTATTTCTAGCAGCTCATAGAGATAGAAATTTCACCAAACCTGCTTAGGTGTTTAGCCCTTTCTTCAGGAAGTGCCTCTGGGAGGCAACAGCTGCAGGATTTGTTGTCACACACATCTGTGTACAGATCTCGGCTCCAAAGGGTGCTTATCTCTTTACAGTTTATGAGGCAGATAGCACTATACGCTGACTGTCAGTAGGTCAGTCTGTATTTCATAGGGAATCACATGGAGATACTGAAGAACAAAGGTCAAATGCATCTGTAATATTCCATAGCCACGCCTCAGGCAGGGCTTAGTTCTAAGTTTTGGGGGATGGGAACAGGGCTGTGAGGAGAGAGATGTGGTTCTTGCTTTGTCAGGGCCCCTGAGCTCATAGAGAGCAGTCCCCACAATGGTAGGCACTTCCTTTACTGCACTGTGAACCACTACAAGAGCAGGCCCAAACCAGGGCTTATCTCCCACTGAGATAGAATTACTCCCTTCAACTTCTTGCTCTCCCAGCACCCATGGTCTCATTGTGGGTGAACTGTCTTTTCCTGTCCCCTGAATTTGGGCTTACCCATGTGGCTTGGTTTGGTCCATGGGATGAAGTAGAATTGAAAAGTGTAGTTCTGAATGTCAGCTTGAAAGGGCCTCAGATGATCTGCTGGTCATTGAGTACTTCCTCTTTCACACAAGAGCAGCTTCCCCTGGGCAGCGACTGCCTCTCCAGGCTGCCCCAGGAAGAACAGGAGTCAGTTACTGCTAGAGCATAAGTACATTATCTAGCTGTAGTCTTGTAGGGAGTCATCATTTCAATCTGATTTCAGGACTGTTTGTAGCATATCATTGCAGAAATAGCTAAAGTATTTACAGTTTCAGTATTGGGACGGTCTCCAGGACTGTACTGAGGCACTCCAGCCTGAAGTGCTCTGTCGTCTGGGTCTCATTGCTTTTTGCTTTAATTTCGCTTTAGTTAGGGTCTTGTGCCAATGTTACCTAGGCAAGCCTTGAATAGTAATGGGTTACCTCCAATTCCTGGACAGTAGTGGGGATCATAAGCAGGGACCAGACCAGGAGCCATTCTTACCCATTTTTCTTTCCCTCTTTCTTTCTTCCTTCCTTCCTTTCTCTTTCTTTCCTTTTTCTTTCTTTCTTTCCTTCCCTTTCTCTTTTTTTTCTTTCTCCTTCATTCCTTCCTTCTTTTTTAATTGTGAAAATACTGTAAAGAGGGGTTACAATTACATGGGCAAGATAATGAGTACATTTCCTATCAAGCACTGTAGCCTCCTCCTTTGTTTCCCCTTTCCACCCCTTCCCATCCTCCCCCCTTCCTTCTTTTCTTTTCTCTATCATTTTTTCTCTTTTTTTCTTACTTTCCTTCTTCCTTCCTTTCCTCTCTTTCCTTCTTTTATCTCTTTCTTCCTTCCTTCCTTCCTTTTTTTCTTCCTTTTTTCCCTTCCTTCCTTCCCTCCCTTTTCTTTCTTTCTTTCTTCCTTCCTTCCTTTCTTGCTTGCTTTCTGACACAGTGGTTTTGAACCAAGGGCCTTACACTTGCTAGGAAGGTGCTGTATTACTTGAGCCACATCCAATTTATTTTTCCCTTTAGTTATTCTTAATGATAGCATCTAGTGCTTTTCTTAGTCTAGCCTGGAGAGCCATCTTTCTACTTTCCCAGCCCCCAGCTTGTTTCTTGATATGGGGTATTCCTAAATTTCTGTCTAGGCTGACCTCAGACTGTGATCCTCCCTATCTCTGCCTTCATAGTAACTGGGATTACAAGTTTAGACCACTGTGCCCACCCAGATAACTCATTTGTTGTAGGGACAGCTGCTACAAAGAGAAATCCAACAAACTGGGTTGAGTAAGAAGCATATTGAATTGGCATGTAATAATTCAGTTAGGAATTCCAGGCAGGGCTACTTGTAGCCTTAGTATTAGTGTCCCAGACTCTGTATCACTGCTTCATCTTCCAAGGCCTGGCTTCCATCTACATAAGGTTTCATAGAACTCACAGGAAATCTGTTGTCTTTCAGCCCTACAAGGCAAGCCTTCCACATGTGGTGCCAAATCCTCCTCCCAACATTATTGTTTAACAGGCTCCATATCAGCCATCCTTACCACTTCTGCTTTGAGTATCAAGTGCTATTTTTTAGAGGGTGGAGAGGGGAGGAACTGCTAGGGATAGAAGCTCAATCTCCCAAACTTTGTTTTCTTTCTTTGTCCTAGAGCTTGAACTCAGGGCCTGGGCACCATCCCTGAGTGTCTTTGCTCAAGGCTAATACTCTGCCACTTCAGCCACACCACCACTTCTGGCTTTTACTGTTTATATGGTACTGAAGAATTGAACCCAGGGCTTCATGCATGCTAGGCAAGAACTCTACCACTAAGCCACTTCTCAGCCTCCAAAGTTTTCTCAGAAGGTAAGTCAGACCAGATTTATCAGGACTGGGGGTACCAAGGCTGGAATTTTTCCAGGGAGGGAGCTTATTTTGGAATACATAACATTCTTTAGATGACTGGGGAAACAGGAAACATCCTACTATTAATACTGCTTGGTTGAGAGGGATGATCTCATTAGCAAGGGGAACCTAATTTTTTTATTTACTTACTGAGCTTGCAAAGCCCATAGTGTATCAAACCTGTCTGATGCCCCATTTTGTACCAATTCCTATTATGTCTGGAGCCCCTGATCCCCATTAATTCCTGCTCCCTCTCTTTTAAGCTATCATCAAAGGGCCATCCTAAAACCCAAGCTTGATCATGTTTTTGCTGTTTAAGCCATCAGTTGTTCATATTGAGGTTGCTGTGCCTTCGCCAGGGTCTGTGGGACAGGTCCCTGTCACTGTGCCATCTGCAGCATTTATTCTTTTTCTTCTTTGCATGTCATGTTCTAGAACACCAGACTGACTATACACAGTGCAGGCATACCTTGAGGGTTTGTGCTTCTGTACCTTTGTACTTCTACTTTTTAGATGCCTTCCTTCCTCTTGCAGCTAAAAAGCCCTTTATTTTTCACATTCCTTCCTCCAAATATCCCCTCATATCTTCTCCTTTCTAGCTAACCCAGAGCTGAGCCACTCTTGGTCCATAGTCATTGTCATACCCAACTCATTGTAGTTTCAATATGAATTGTCTATCCATCTTCCCAGCCTAGGAGAGCCTTCAGGAAAGATTCTGTCCTAGACAAGTTTATTATGAAGCCTCACTTCAAGTTCCATCTCTTTTCTGCACTTTTGTTAGGACCTCTGATTTCCCTCCTCTGAAAAAGACACACCTCATCTCATACCACATAGATCCTAATCGTATTATTGCCTCATGCTATCATCTCTCTTTTCTGTGACATGTTGCACTAAAATTGTGAGAATTTTCATTCATACAGAGGCTGTTGGTCTGGGTGACCATCTCTCTCTTACGCAGGTTTCACTTAAGAGACATACTCAGACATACACTCTGCCACAGTTAGGACAAGCTGAACACTGCAGGATCTCCTCAGTTTCAGCCAATTGTAAATTTTAATTGTATCAAATTGAGAGGTTTACATAAATGTCTTATTTTGAAGTAAGGGAAATGCGTCAGAACAGAAACCCAATACAGCCTGTAATCCTGGTATAAACTTTGAGATGTCTAGCAATAGAATTGCTTTGTAGTGAGCTCTTGTCTTTTTGCCCAATAGTTTTATTAAGAGAAATACCCATGTCCCCACTAAGCTGGGCTGGGGAGTTTAGGTCCTTGTAACATTGAACTAAATGCTGAGTACTATGCCTGGCCTGTAGGTGGTGCTCACTAAAGTAATGGCCATCATATTCCCCTTCAGCATTGTCATCATTACTAACCACATTGTCACTGTCATTATTTGTGATGGTAGCACTACTTATCTCTCTCCATAAGCCTGTATCCTATAACCAGGCTGTGGAATAATTAGGAGGCTTTAGAATTTCAATGGTCCTGGTTAAAATCCTAATCTCTGGTTTTGGATGTGTGATTTTGGGTTCCTAGGCAGGTACCCTGCATTCTGTGAGCTCTCCTGTTTAGGTGTCAAATGAAACAAAAACAAAAAGCAAATTATGCTTCTATGGAGTGTATGGCTAAATAATAAAGGACTGTGAAATGTCTGAGCTAGGGATTGGCATCAGGTAATTCAATTGTATAGCTGGTAGCTCCTGCTACTGCTGCTGCTTGTGATTACTACTAGTCTTGTGTTTTCAACTCTTTATTATCACTCATCTTAGTGACTACATAAAGAGAAACATCTTTATTCTCAGGAATTAGCTTTGAGAAGCCTCAAGAGAACAGGGGTCATAAGGCCAGCACTGGCTAACTGATTAGCCAGAGGAGGAACTGAACAGCTGCACATTGACTCTATTCCATTCACTGCTCAACTAGAGGACCCAAGAGGGTATATCCATCCTTCATCTCATGTTACCGTGAGATGACAAAATGGGACTGTCCAAGCTTGCTGATAGTCAGTAGGTTAATTTTCTGTTCTTGTTCATTTTTATGTTCTTTTCCTCATGAATGTGTTCAAGCTTTACCTTCTAAATGAATTATTAATGGACTTTGAATTTGAGCGTGAAGTTGAAAAACCTTTCTACCCTCTGAAAATTACCAGTTGGAAGCACACAGTTATGGACTGGGGCAGGAAGTAGATGTGTGAAGCTGAGCAGAGCTAGGCAGCTCTCGTGGGACAGGAGAGGCTGGAGCAGTCCATGTGAAGGGAGAAGTGGCCTCACCAACTGCTTTCCGCAGTAAGGTAGGAGGAGGGCCATCTTGGGAAATCACTGACTCCCTGTGCATATTACACTTTCCCTACTTTTTCCAGTACCTTCCTGCTAGTTGGGCAAGTACTAGGACTTTAAAAAGAAAAATAAACCAATGTGAATTTCTCAAGCAGCTGATCTGGGTAACAAAATCATATATGACAGGACACACATTACTTTGTGAGTTTGAGAACCTGAGAAAAAGACTTGATTCCAGAGTGCAGCAGTCTCACTGACCCCTGCATTCTGGTGACCATGACATCTTGTGAATGTGGCTAGAAGTGAACAATGGCCTGAAGACAGAAGGTCAAGCTCTTTGTAAATGACTGCTTCTTCATAAACCAAAACCACGGGCTTTAAAGTTTAAAGATCCAGATAGGTCTGCCTGTGACAAACCTGTCTCCAAGTGGGCAGAGTTGGGTTTAGAAGGCTAAGCTTCAAAGAAAGGGTTTAGAAGGCTAAGCTTCAAAGAAAGGTTCATCTCTTACATATAAAAGAAGAGACTTGAGGGACAAGACAAGGATGCCCACTCTCTCCACTTCTCTTCAATCTAGTATTAGAATGCCTAGCTACAGCAATAAGACAAGATGCAGACATAAAGGGGATCCAAATAGGGAAAGAAGAAATAAAACTCTCCCTCTTTGCAGATGACATGATCTTGTATTTAAAGAATCCCATAGACTCCACTCCCAAATTACTCAAGCTGATTCAAAACTTTGGCAAAGTAGCAGGTTATAAAATTAACCCCCAAAAATCAATGGCTTTTCTGTATGCGAACAATGAGAAAAGTGTGGCTGAAGTTAGGAAAGCAACTCCATTTGTAATAGCCCCACAAAAAATAAAATGCCTAGGAATTAACTTAACTAAAGAAGTGAAGGACCTCTATGATGAAAACTTTAAAATCTTGAAAAAGGAAATCAACACAGAACTTAAAAAATGGCAAAACCTCCCATGTTCCTGGATTGGAAAGATTAACATCGTGAAAATGGCAATACTTCCCAAGGCTATCTACAAATTCAACGCAATACCTATCAAAATTCCACCCTCATTCTTCAAGGAAATAGAAGAGGCAATCCAAAAATTCATATGGAACAATAAAAGACCCCAAATAGCAAAAACGCTCCTCAACGGAAAGAACACTGCTGGAGGAATATCAATACCAAATTTCAAACTCTACTATAAAGCCATAGTAATCAAAACAGCTTGGTATTGGCATAAGAACAGACCACAGGACCAATGGAATAGAATTGAAAACCCAGAAATGAACCTACAGACCTATAGCCATCTAATCTTCGATAAGGGAGCTAAAACAATAGAATGGAAGACAGACAGCCTCTTCAGTAAATGGTGCTGGCAAAACTGGTTAACTACATGTAGAAAACTAAAGCTAGATCCTTATATATCACCCTGCACCAGAATCAACTCCAAATGGATCAAAGACCTTGAACTCAAAGCAGACACTCTGAAAACATTACAGGATGGAATAGGAGAAACCCTGGGTCTCCTTGGCTCAGGCCGAAATTTTCTGAATAGAGACCCGGAAACACAACAAATCAAAGAAAGGCTGGACAAATGGGATTGTATAAGGTTGCAGAGCTTCTGCAGGGCAAATGACATAGCTAGCAAGATCAATAGAAAGCCCACGGACTGGGAGAAGATCTTTACTAGCCATACAACGGACAAGGGTCTCATATCTAAAATATACTTGGAACTCAAAAAATTAAACCACCCAACAACAAATCCTCAAAGAAACAACTGCCCAATAAGTAAGTGGGCGAAAGACTTAAAGAGAAGCTTCTCTGAAGAAGAAAGAAGGATGGCCAATAGACACATGAAGAAATGTTCTACATCCCTAGCCATAAAAGAAATGCAAATCAAAACAACATTGAGATATCACCTCACTCCAGTTAGAACAGCAAAAATCAAGAACTCTAACAACAACAGATGCTGGAGGGGATGTGGACAGAAAGGAACCTTACTTCATTGTTGGTGGGAATGTAAACTTGTTCAACCACTTTGGAAAGCAGTATGGAGGTTCCTCAAAAGACTCCACATAGAGCTCCCCAATGACCCAGCAATCCCACTTTTGGGCATTTACCCAAATGATCACAAACAAGGCCACACTAAAGCTACCAGCACAACTATGTTTATTGCAGCATTATTTACCATAGCTAAGACATGGAACCAACCCAGATGCCCCTCAGTAGATGAATGGATCAAGAAGATGTGGTATATATACACAATGGAATTCTATGCCTCCATCAGAAAGAATGACATTTCCCAATTTGTTAGGAAATGGAAAGGCTTGGAAAAAATTATATTAAGTGACGTAAGCCAGGCCCAAAGAAACATAGGTCCCATGGTTTCCCTTATTTGCAATATCTAGTATAGGTATGAGTCAAGCGGAAAAAGTCAGATAATGTGATGTTAGGAAAACAAAACCTCAAATATGTATTTTAATGTTTTTGTTTCTTTCATGCATGTGTTTCTAACGCATTTATAAGATTATTTCTTTGTTGCTTTGTATGTCCCTCCCCCACAGTGTAACCCCCGCTTTCACTATATTTGATGTCAGTATAACATGTGGAGGAGATGGGGACAAACAAGTCGTTTAAGGATTCAGGTGGACCTGTTGCAACAATGAGAAGTACAAAATGTCATGTCAAAACCAGCTTTACAATGTCGGTGGGGGGGGGGTGGGGGGGTATGATTGGGTGGGAGGGAGGGGGGAGGCTGGGAAGGGAGGTGAAGGGTAAACAAAGGAGGAGGCTGCAATGCTTGGTAAGAAATGTATGCATTATCCTGCCCATGTAATTGTAACCCCTCTGTACAGTATGTTCTCAAATAAAATAAAATAAAATTAAAAAAAAAAAAAAAGAAGAAAGCAGGAACTATGAGGAGTAAAAAAAAAATTCTCATCAAATAAATAATTGTTTTTTAAAAATGAAAAAAAAAAAAAAAAAGAAGAGACTTGAGGAACCCATAAGCCTGGTCTGGATATTTCCCATTAGTGCCAGGCAGCTGCCCCCAAAGCAAAGGTTTTGCTTTGAAGCCAAGTCTCAGGCCCGAATGTGCATCTATTTATAGTGATAAGTAATGTGGCCCCTTTCTCACCTCCTCCAGTCCCACTTTTAGTATCTTTAGAACTTCCAGAAGAATCTATAGCTCTCCTTTTCATTTAATTTCCTTAGCCATATTTGACTTCTATCACTTCCCAGAAACTTCCCAGAAAATAGGCAGATTTTGAGATTTTGAACAAAACCCCAAACTTACATGTTCAGGATATATTCTCTTGTTCCCCAGAAGTTGATTACACTGAGAGAATGCAGGCAGGATGTCCTCTTTGGAAGCCACCTATACCTTCTGCAAGCATGACTGCCATGACACAGCCCTAGCCACAGTCCTGCCGCTCCTGCCTGTGCCCCTGTTATTGCACACATATATGTAAGTACCACCCATGGAAATGGTTATGAATTGTATACAATTTAATCTGAGGCAACAGTATGCCAAAATGTTAGCATATGTTAGAAATTAGGTGTGGAATAAACAATGCGAGAGTCCAAGTGTAAAAGTCTCAGACTTATGAGGCACGCATAGCACCGCAACACCCAGGATCGCCGGTGGTCTCACTTTCAGCAGGTGGAGGAGGAGGAGGAGGTGGTGATGAGGCTGGTGGTGGTGATGATAATGGTGGAATCTCTATGATGATGTCACTGGGATCCCTGTGAAAGGAACAATGCCAGGCTTTCAGTTTTGAAGGAAGCAACTAGACTTTTCCTTGTCTCCCCCTGTTAGCTAGGAATGTTGAATTGCCCCCAACCATTTACCCTTTTCTCTTCTTATGCAAACTCTCTTCCTCATCGGAAGAGTCCCTGTCATGTAGCTTGTTGGCCATGTTTTTCTTGCGTGTGGCATTGAGAGGTCTGTACATATCCCTCAGCCAAACTGGTTGCCATAAGGAGAAGCCCTCCTAGGAGAGACAAGGAGAAATATTAATTCTACATTCGCTTCCCTTTTCTGGCCACAGAACTAAGTCCTTAACTTGCCTGACTTGTAGTTTCTGATGAGCATTTCCTTCGCAGAAATCCAAAAAAGCTCCTTGGGGGGAAGAGGAAGCAGACAATGACTCCTGCCATTTTCCATGTCTCTCACAGTGTACATCTCAGATCTTACTGACAGAAACCCCCATACTTTGGTTCATAATCACAATGAGCAAAGGCTATCCTAGCATGGGGATTGAAAACAATTCCATGCATGCAGGCAGAGGTTGCAGGATCTCCCCAGGTCTGTCCCAAAGGTCTCTACAATGCTTCTAGGGAGACCTTGGCCTGCAGCATAGGTGGACTGCCAGCCCCACTTATGCTCTCTGCCAAAAATCCCTGCACATAAACAACTGCTCAACCATTCTGGGCAGAAGCATTTGATCTCTGTAGAGCCTTTCACTTCAGTCCTCTTTGGACTAAGTCTCCCATGTGTCAGTTGTTGGGGAGAAGGAGATACCCCTCTGTTCTCTTAGCTGTTTTATCTTAGCTGTTTTTTACATAAGTTGAATCATAGCAACTTCTAAAGTTGTGTAGTTTAGACATTTTCATCTCTGAAAGTCTGTCATGATGAATGACTTATGAAATCAATTTTTTTTTAATTTTATTTTATTTGTGAACATACTGTACAGAGGGGTTACAATTACATGGGCAAGATAATGCATACATTTCTTACCAAGCATTGCAGCCTCCTCCTTTGTTTACCCTTCACCTCCCTTCCCAGCTGAAATCAATTTAAAGGACAGGACTAGCACTTAAAGGCAAGCTATCATTTCTGAATGTAAGCCGAACAGGAAAAATCAGTTTGTGGTTCTTGAGACTGTGGATGTCTGCATTGCATGTGTGTCCTGGTTAAATGTGTCCCCATGTAATAAGGGAAAAGAACCTTTTTCTCCTAAACCTCCTGAGCAGTGTGACCCTGCTGCAAGACATTTCCCCTTTCTCTTCTCTTTTCTTTATTACAAAAGCAATGATAAATTAGCATCTGAGGTCTCTCTTACCTAAAAGATGTGAGCGAGAGTGGGGATGAGAAGGTACCCAGCAGGATGAGGAGTTTTCTTATCACTGACAGGAAGGACCCCTACATCCCCCCTTCCACTACGCCTATACCCCAACACCCCACGGATTTCTTACACTGTCTCCGGAGGCCCACCACTAGCAGGAGCAGACACAGCTGAAACCTCTCAGTCTCCCACCCTCATTCACTGAAGGACTGGTGACAGAGAACTATCCATGCCAGTACTGGCTACCTCTGCCACTGCTGAGGAACTTCTTTTGCTGGAGCCAGGTAAGACCTCTGGGAAGGAAGAGTTCTCTCTACCTTGGGTAGTGCCCCTCCCCACTGTAAGGCTAGGGGATAGAAACAGATGAGTTCTAGGGCCCCTCCAGTTCTCAGATCTTCACTGGAAGATTTACAGACTCCCATTTACCTTGAGAACTCTTTACTTCCTGTTGCTGATGCTCTGTGGGAATAAATCTGTTTGGGAATAAAACACAATCATGATTTTCCACCAGTATTAGTACTTGTTCCTTCCTTTATTTATCTCTTCTCTGCCCAGGAGACTCCAAGAATTTTATCCTATAATTGTGTTCTATGCCACAGTACTTGGCTGAGGGTCTTGTCTAAAGCTAGAACAACATATGCTATTCAGTATTTTAGATAATATCCAACAGAAAATTCCCCGTGGTATCTCCTAACACAGTAAAGAAAATGTCCTTCACTGGTCACAATCTTTACTGAAGACCAAAACAACACTATTGTTATCAAATCAAAGACAAGATTACTGTCTTTATTACAAGTATTACTATCATGAATGAGGCACACCTATTGAAGAGGTCCCAATCAATGTAAAAAGACATAAATGGAGCATAAATGTTGGAAAGGAAGGAACTATTTTTCTTTGTATATGAAGTGATGGATAACCAAAAAGCCTAAGAGAGCCAGGCACCATGTTTTACATGTATAATCCTAGCTACTTGGGAGGTTGGGATCTGAGCACCATGATTCAAAGCCAGCGTGGGCAGAAAATTAACCACCAGTAGCTCAAAGTGGTAGAATGCTAATGTTGAGCAAGAGAGCTCAAGGATGGCACCCAAAACATAAGTTCAAGCCCCACAGCTGACAAAAAGAAAAAACCCAAAAACTTATTTGTGAGGTAGAAATCAGAGGACTGTGGCCCTAGGACAGATTCTAGCTGAAAAGCATAAGCAAAAGACTGGGGACATGGATGAAGTAGTAGGGGGATGCCTAGCAAATCTAAAGCTCTAAGTTCAAACTCCATTAACATAAAAAACATTTAGGAGAGTGCCAGATGCCAGTGGCTCAAGCCTATAATCCTAGTTGCTCAGGAGGCAAAGATCTAAGGATCGCATTTCAAAGCCAGCCTAGGCAGGAAAGTCCATGAGACTTTTTTTCCAATTAACCACCAGAAAACCAGAAGTATCACTGTGGCTCAAGTAGTAGAGCTCAGGGACAGCGCCCAGGCCACAACTGACTCCCCCCCCCCCCCCCCCCCCACAAATCGCACAACTTTTAAGAGGTTCTCTTTTGGAAAAGAAAGTATGTAAGAAGAGTGATCTGGTATTTGGAAAAGAAGATCTAAGAGCAGAAGATTGATTATCTTACCTTTGAAATATTTATTTACTTATTTATTTGCCAGTCCTGGGGTTGTGAACCGAGGGCCTGAGCACTGTCCCAGAGCTTTTTCGGCTCAAGGCTAGCACTCTATAACTTGAGCCATAGTGCCACTTTTGGCTTTTTCTGTTTATGTGGTACTGAGGAATCAAACTCAGCTTCATGCATGCTAAGCCAGCAGTCTACCACTAAGCCACATTCCCAGACAAACTTTACACAAAAGAAGCATTATGAAGCTACTAGGACTAACAGTTATTAATAGCTGGCAGGGGTTTTGGTGCAGGAAAGACAGTAGGATCAAGGGAAGAGTTCAGTATGGTATTTTAGACCCATGGAAAATGAATGAACCATTTTTTTTTTTTGGTCGGTCGTGGGGCTTGAACTCTGGGCCTGGGCGCTGTCCCTCAGCTCTTCAGTTTAAGGCGAGTACTCTACCACTTGAGCTACAGCACCACTTCCGGTTTTCTAGTGGTTTATTGGAGATAGGAGTAACTTTTGCATTTAGGCTTTTATATTGTTATTATAAAAGTGGTGTATAGAGAGGTTACTGTTAGGAAATGGAGGAGAAGGTATAAGGCATAGGCTGGACTCAGTCGCCAACAGGCGAGGACTGTTTATTGTCAGCAATGGTCACAGACCTTCTCGTGGGATTGGAGGTTGTGTGGGGGGTAAATTGACATCAGGTTTGTAGGGGCCTGAGCAAGGAGTCAGAGGTTAATGAAAAATCCATTAGGACTAGGGAGTTGGGTGCTTTTCGGGTGGGCCCACAATGGAATATTTACAGCTGAGCTTAGGTGGATTGCCCTCTCTGCACATCAAGCAGGTCTGTGCATACCAGGGGTTTTGCCTGTGTCTGATTGTGCCTGGAACAATAGGGTTGAGGTCAATCCTTCATATTCCATCTTCAGATACATAAAATGATTGGGCCATGAGGGGAGAGGCATGTCCTTCCATTACAATTACATAACTCAGAAATGAGTACATTCTTATTGGGCAGTATCGACCTTTCCCTCACTCTCTTCCAGTTCTTCCCTTTGCCTCTATCCACCTGTAGTATAGTTCATTTCCAACATAATGGCTAATGTGTACAACTGCTGCATTTGCTCACCCAATAACTCTTTTCAGTTGTACAGAAAAGAGCTGTTGAGGAACATGGCCTGAACAGTTGAAGAGGAACCCTTTAGTAAACTTCTGCTCTTTAATATTTGAAAACAGGAAGGAAGACTGAGGGGCGCAGTAGAAGGTTAAGCATAGGAGTGATGTGGTTCTGACTCAAACTGAGGTAACAGATAAGAATGAAGAGGCCTAGATTTGTAGTTTATCTCAGAAGCATTTCCTATCAATTCAAAGGCCTCTGGGTGGTGAGTGCACAGGAAGGAAGAAGACTTCTAAGAAGAGTTTGCAAAGCTCCCAAACTCAGAATTCCCTGCCTCAATTTTTTCTTCCTTCTCTTTCTCTCTTTCCTTCCTTCCTTCCTTCCTTTTTTCCTTCTCTTTCTTTCTTTCTTTTCTTTCCTTTCTTTCTTGCCTTGGTTATAGGCCTTGAACTCTGGTCCTCAGAGGTGTCCCTGAGAGCTTCAGCTCAAGGCTAGTGCTCTACTATTTAGAGCCACAACGCCGTTTCCAGTTTCCTGGTGGTTAAATGGAGATAAGAGTCTCAAAGACTCTCCTGTCTGCGTTGGCCTTGATCTGAGAGCCTCAGATCTTATCCTCCTGAGAAGATAGAATTACAGACATGAGCCCTGGTGCCTGGGCCCTGCTTCAATTTCTGTTCCAAGTGGTAAATATTAGAAATTACACAGGGCATCAAAACAGCTTAGATCCTCCATATTATGTGCTTAGAAAAGGATCATATTGGCTAGAGACAATCTGAGCATATACAAGAGTGAAAAGGCAGGAGGCTTGTGGCTCATGCCTATAATCCAAGATACTTAGGAGGCTGAGAACTCAGCATCAAGGTTCGAAGCCAGTCTGGATAGGAAAGTCTGTAAGTCTCTTATCTCTACACACTAAAAAATGTAGAAGTGGAGCTGTGCCTCAAGTAGTAGAGCATCAACTTTGATGGGCTGGGAAGGTGGCTCAGTGGTAGAGCGCTTGCCTTGCATGCAGGAGGCCCTGGGTTCGATTCCTCAGCACCACATAAGCAAAAAGAAAAAAGCCGGAAGTGGTGCTGTGGCTCAAGTGGTAGAGCGCTAGCCTTGAGCTGAAGAGCTGAAGGACAGCGCCTAGGCCCAGAGTTCAGGCCCCATGACCGGACCCCCCCCCCCAAAAAAAAAAAAAAAGAAAAAAGAAAAAAGGCTCTAGACTCTGCCTCTCCAGTGAGTTAAAGACCCAAGCAAGATTGGGGCTCATACACATGCCAACACACACACACACACACACACACACACACACACACAAAGAATAAAGAAAGCTAGGTATGCAGCTCAATAATACAGTCCTTGCCTGCCACATTTGAGAGACTAGCTTTAGTCCTTGCAGTGCATATACAAACAATTGATAATAGGCCCGGAGAGAGTGACTGAACTACAGACATGCTCAAAAAGAATTGTACTCATGACTCATTCCTGATTCATGTAACTGTACCCCTTTGTGTATCAATTCTACAAGAACAATAAAAAACTGGAAAAAAATAATAGGGTTCAAATAATGTGAAGAATCCACTATTCCATTGTGATACTTAAATACTTAAAAAGATAGGGAGCTCTCCTGTAATGTAGTAATGCAAGATGGTCAATGAGGAGGAATGATACAATTAGAAAATTAGCTGGGGGGCTGGGAAGGTGGCTCAGTGGTAGAGTGCTTGCCTTGCATACATGAAGCCCTGGGTTCGATTCCTCAGCACCACATAAGCAGGAAAAAAAAAAAAAAAGGCCGGAAGTAGTGCTGTGGCTCATGTGGTAGAGCACTCGCCTTGAGCTGAAGAGCTGAGGAACAGTGCCCAGGCCCAGAGTTCAGGCCCCATGACCGGACCCAAAAAAAAAAAAAAAAAGAAAATTAGCTGGGCACCAGTAGCTTACCCCTATAATCCTAGCTACTCTGAAGGATGAGACCTGAGACTCATGGTTGGAAGTCATGCTGGGCAGGAAAGTTCATGACACTCTTATTTCCAATTAAGTACCAAAACACCAGGAGCTGTGGTTCAAGTGGTAGAGCTAGAGCACTAGTCATGAGTATAAAAGCTCAGGCACAGTACCCAGGCCCTGAGTTCAAGCCCCAGGACTGGCATGTAAAGAAGTCATTTTGTGACTGCCAGCAATAATCATGACAGGACAGTATTAGACAAGAGTCTTTTGCTCCCCATATCTTGGGAACACTGACAACACTCCATCTTGTGAGTTGGCTTCTTACTTGGGACCAGTTAGATTATATTAGCTATGTTCAAACAGCCTGCAGTCAGGCTTGGAAAAGGAGAAACCCATAAGTTATCAGTGTGTTCTGTGATCCCTAGCCAGTGTCCACTAGGCTGGCAGCCACAACACATAGCCATAGAGAAGGAAGAATTGGCCTTCTGCCCAGGAAGAACAACTTCATTGCTAAAGGGCCATTTCAGAAAATACATGCTCTAGCCTCTGCTGGTAGAGAGCCGTGATTGCTGAGCCATCATTTTATACTGACTACTGGCAAACAGATCACAAAAGTGGGCCTGGAAGTTAAGGATTTGAGAAGGCTGGAATACCCAGTCTGTGCCCAGGTCACAGACTACTCTCAGAGGTGAACAGAGAGGAAGAGTTTGAGCTCAGGATTTAACTGTTGGCAGAAACTTCATTCTCCAAGGCCATTCCTGAAAACAAAGGATCTAGGGTCCTCTGGTAAATAGCTTAGACTATAGAGTATCAGTTTATATTGATGCCTAGCAAATAGCCTATCTGACAAGGTAGATTTGAGGAGTGAGCCCTTTGGCTCAGAGATTAGAGAACACAGTAGTCTGAATTTAGGGATTTCTGGGTCACTTGGCTATGCAATTTTGGCAGAGGAAAATGGAAATAGGAGGATCGAGGGAGATAAGGAGCAATTCGCATCCACTGCCAGTAGGACAAGCTATAGGTATTGTGATGTGACAGAAGCAAAACCCAAAAAGCTATACATTCTATGATTCATTTATAGGATGGTCTAGAAAAGATAGACCTGTAGGGCCAGAAGTAAGAGTGCAGGTTTCCAGGGGTAGGAGGTGGAGGAGTGGATTGACTGCAAAGGGCCTGATGGCCTTTTGTGGGTGATGGGAATGCGGTAGTGGTTACAGCTATGCAAACTCATCAAACTGTATACTTAAAAAAGTGTAAAGTTAAGTGCATGAAAATGTCACTGCAATAAACCTGACCTCAGAAAGTAATAAAACAAACCTGAAAAAGTGATACAAATCTAAAAACAGTTAACTTACAGTTTTTCCAACGAGAGGGTCAACATGAGGACATTCTCAACTGTCATAAGTTGCACTTGTGTTGATCCCATATCTCTGAAGGAGAAAGCCAGACATTCATGATACACCCCAACTCAAAGATTGTGTTCTTACAAAGCAGATGTCCCACTACAGATAAAATTGTGGTACCTATATACAAAGGAATATCACAGAGCCATTAGAAAGAACAAAATAATGGCATTCGCAGGGAGATGGATGGAATAGAACAATCATGATAAGCCAAAATTGGAGAGTCTCCCTGATATGCAGATGTTAAATTCAAAACACAATCAGATATGAAAAAGTAAACAGGACCCAAGAAACAAAGGACCTCTTCTTAATCTGTCCCATCATTTTTAGATGACTCTGTGTTCTGGACCACACATATGATATATACATGTGCACATCTGAGAGAAGCTAGGAGGAGGGCACAGAATCAGAGGGAAATGGGTGAAAAAATACAGCAGCGCTCCCTCCACCCCTCACCCCCGCCCCCATCAGCTGCATGGGACACATTGAAGAAAGTGAACTAAGCAACTCAAGGGCAGAGATGGGAGGGAGGGAATAATAGAGAAAGAGGGAACAGCTTACAATAAGCAAGAGAAAAAAATGTACATATCAACCTGATTTGGAATGAAATAGTTGTATTGTCCAAGTCCGTAGCTTTAATAAGCTTTATAGACCATGATAATGACAATTTGCATTGTGAAGGTTAAAATGTGTTTCTGACTTTAGCTAAGTATCACTATCCCACAATAGTGTGAAATTTATGTAATCACTTAATCCACTTAAAAAAAAAAGTGTTCTTAAAAAAGATCCCTCATGGGGCTGGGAAGTTGGCTCAGTGGTAGAGCACTTGCCTTGCATGCTCGAGGCCCTGGGTTCGATTCCTCAGCAGCACATAAGAAAAAAAACCCGGAAGTGGCACTGTGGCTCAAGTGGTAGAGTGCTAGCCTTGAGCTGAAGAGCTGAGGGACAGGGCCCAGGCCCAGAGTTCAGGCCCCACGACCGGTCCCCGCCCCCCCCAAAAAAAAACAAATAAAAATTTACTTAACAACAACAGAATATACATTCTTTAAAAAAAGAAAAAGATCCCTCACGGTTCACAACATTGTGGAACATATTTTTTTAAATGTGAATTAAAATATGAACATATTGGAAATTATTCATTTCAGTGGTGATACTGGTTTTGGTTGGGAGATTCTAAATGTGCTATTGTTTTGACTGTTTTAGAGTCACATTTTATTCTGATTAGAATTTTTATTAAGATGTTGAAGCTTTTGTTTTTTTGAAGCTAGTTTGTCATAACATATTGTGCATAATCATAGTATTTATTCTGTGAATGTGTAGACTTGTGAATGTGTAGACTTACATTTACTGCTAAGAAAACACATTTAAAATAATATTAAATCCAGTATCAGCTGCCTACTGCACACACTTACTACAGAAATCCATGTTACATTTACCACACTAAAGTTTGTTTTTAAAGAATCACCCTCATTGTTGAAAGTAAATGTATTCTTAGGGTGTGAATATTAGTGTTCCAATAAGCATGTGATTATATTGAGGTGGTGGTAGTGGGAAGGTAATCTTGATTTCATTGGGAATCTTAGGTTTTTGTAAATTTATTGGGAAAATAGTTTTTCCTGTATTGCTGAAGTTTCTTTTTGGTAAGTAGTAGCTTTCTAGAAGAAAAAGCACGCAGGAGAACTTGAGGTGTACATACATTAACTCACTGACCAGCAGTGTATTGATGCATACTGTGTATCTTTGCAATGAACAATATGGACACTGATCAGTTTTCACTCACAGGTAAAATACTTGAAAGTAAGAAAAAAAAATCCTTCAAGAGCATAAGTCAGCTCGAGTGTCACTGAAAATAATTGACAGTGTTCTTTCTCATTGAAAAGACTTAGGTTATTCTTTTTTACATCATCAAATTAAGGATCTTGCTGTGTTTTAGAATCAATTATCTTTTTTTTTCTTACCATTATGTTAGGCATTCTCAAAATACATTCACTATCCCTTTACTTTTGTTTCTTTTCATAAAACAATGTACCATTTATTCCTCTTTGTCTTCTGGGAAAAGTGATGGTGCTACAAGTGTTCATCCTTCGGGCTGTTCTGTCCTTTATAAATACTTTCTTAGTTCTTTCCTTTACCAAGAGCATTTCATTCAATTCCCTATTAACTAAAAGTATGACTCTCAAGCGGAGTGCTGGTGGCCCATGCCCATAATCTGAGTTACTCAGAAGCTGAGATCTGAGAATCAGGGTTGGAAGCCAGCCTGGGCAGGAAATTGTGTGAGACTATTATCTTCACTAAACTACAAAATAATAACATTAACAATAACAATAAAAATCTGGAAGTAGAGCTGTGGATCACATTGTAGAGTGGTAGCCTTGAGCAAAAGCAGCTCTGGGACAGCCCTGAGTTCAAGCCCTAGAACCAGCACCAGAAAAGAAAATAAAAATGACTTTCTTAGGCTCACGGAAAACTATTTAACCTTTGAAGAAACTAATCAAGAATAACAAACAGAAATGATCTCAAGATTTGTAAGATTTTTGAAATACTTACAGATATTTTAATGCAGGCAATTTAAACAGATAGGAAACTTCAACAGTTGTTCGAGGATTATGATTGAGAACTCTGAAAAATGCAATTGAATTGAAATTATCAACATTTTCAATGTGTATCATTCTCCATGAAAAGTTTGTATTCATTTCTTTGGTCGACACTTGTAGATTTAAAAAAATCACTGCCTTTACTTTGTCATACTTAAAATTCATAAAGCACACTATGTTTGGAAACTGCCCAGAATTCTAGTTTAGAGAAGAGAAAGGGTATAGAAACGTCTAGAAAAGGCTTTGGATAATGGAGACTAAGCCAGGACTCTATTGTCTCTTAGTGCTCATGACCAGCTAGCATGGGAAAGTGTTTTGCCTCAATGAGGAATAGATTCTCTACTTTGTAAAGTCCAACAGCTTCTAAAATCATGGAGTGAGCACAGTGAGAACCAATGAAGTGATTAAAAGGAGGTGTGTGTGTGTGTGTGTGTGTGTGTGTGTGTCTATTTGGGCTTAAACTCAGGGCCTGGGATCTGTGCCTGAGGTGTGTTGTGTGAGTGTGTGTCTATTTGGGCTTAAACTCAGGGCCTGGGATCTGTGCCTGAGGGTGTGTGTGTGTGTGTGTGTGTGTGTGTGTGTGTGTGTGTGTGTGTGTGTGTGTGTGTGTGTGTGTGTGTCTATTTGGGCTTAAACTCAGGGCCTGGGATCTGTGCCTGAGGTGTGTTGTGTGAGTGTGTGTCTATTTGGGCTTAAACTCAGGGCCTGGGATCTGTGCCTGAGGGGTGTGTGTGTGTGTGTGTGTGTGTGTGTGTGTGTGTGTGTGTGTGTGTGTGTGTGTGTGTGTGTGTGTGTGTGTGTGTGTGTGTGTGTGTGTGTGTGTGTGTGTGTGTGTGTGTGTGTGTGTCTATTTGGGCTTAAACTCAGGGCCTGGGATCTGTGCCTGGGGTGTGTGCCGTGTGTGTGTGTGTGTGTGTGTGTGTGTGTGTGTGTGTGTGTGTGTGTGTGTGTGTGTGTGTGTCTGTCTGTCTGTCTGTCTGTCTGTCTGTCTGTCTATTTGGGCTTAAACTCAGGGCCTGGGATCTGTGCCTGAGATCTTTTGCTCCAGCACTATCACTTCCAGTTTTCTGGTGGTTAACTGGAGGTGAGGGTCTCATGTCTCATGGACTTTCTTGCCCTGGCTGGCTTTGAACTGTAATCCTTAGTCTCAGCCTCCGGAGTAGCTAGGATTACAAGGTATGTGCTATCAGCTTCTGGCTAAAAAGATGTTTTAAAATAAGCCATTCAAAGCAGACACTGGTGGCTCACACCTGTAGTCCTAGCTACTCAGGCTGATATCTGAGGATTGAGATTCAAGCCAGCACAGGCAACCAAATCTTAGATTCCAGCCACATCTCAATCCTCCACCAACACCAAATACCTTCTAGAAACCTGAATTTCTTGATCCACAAGTATCCTTTCACGGAGACAAGTTTAGAGGAGAATTTCACCTTGATTCATAATTTCTTTTGAACATTTTGAACCACACAGTCTTTTTCTTTTTGAGGTAGAATTTTGACATGTAGCCCAGAGTGGCCTTGGACTATAGGTCCCCTGCCCACACCTCTTGAGTGCTGGATTACAGCTGTATGTCACATCATCTGGCAAACAGCATACCATTTTTTAACTGAAAGGAAATAAAAACCCATATTTTTTGTTGAAGGTAGTCAGGAAAGAAAATGCATAGAATCAGTCTAGAGCAATGTATTTTCTTTTTGAATGTATAGCTTTTGCCTATACTTCAGAGGTTCCTAATTGCCCCACATAATTGAGAACTTCAGAGGTACATAGTTGAAAAATAACATTCTGACTGACTAAGAGAAGTGCCCTGTATCACCATTAGAAGAAACTGACACTGAGAAATCAGCCACTCTTACTTCCAAGGAGGACTTGGTGATCAGTCTTGTTCTTTGCAGCTCTGCCTCACTGACATGTGAGCAGAAAGGCAGTCACTGCAGTGGAGAAGCAATGAATGTTTATCTCAAATTCATGAGAGCAGCCATTGATTCCCATGACAGAGCTAATTTCAAGGTTATTTAGGTGATGTTTTCCGTTTTCCTGGCCAAAGACCAGAAGTGAAGACACAGAACCTGGTGCTTGTGTGACTAGACATATGAGTCTCCTAGCCTTGTGTAACTTATTTTGTTCCCTCATTTGAAAAAAAAAAAAACAAATGATATCACTTTTGGGCATCTACCCAAAACATCACATGTCAGCATATGGTAAAGACAATTGTACTATTCACAATAGCCAAGTTATGGAAACAGCACAGATGCCCTTCAACCGATGAGCAGGGTCAAGAAAATGTGGTACCGATACACACCCGGAAGTGGTGCTGTAGCTCAAGTGGTAGAGCGCTCGCCTTGAGCTGAAGAGCTGAGGGACAGCGCCTAGGCCCAGAGTTCAAGCCCCATGACAGACCAAAAAAAAAAAAAAGAAAACATTTTTATGAATATCAAGAATTGCTGAGGTGGGCTGGGAAGGTGGCTCAGTGGTAGAAGCTCTTGCCTTGCATGCATGAGGCCCTGGGTTCAATTCCTCAGCACCACATAAGCAAAACGAAAAAAAGCCGGAAGTGGCGCTGTGGCTCAAGTGGTAGAGCGCTAGCCTTGAGCTGAAGAGCTGAGGGACAGTGCCCAGGCCCAGAGTTCAGGCCCCATGACCGGACCCAAAAAAAAAAAAAAAAGAATTGCTGAGGTCTTAGTAACATTTTTTTCTCAGTAAGGACAGTTTTTTCCTTATCTATATGTTATCTGTATAATTAATCTGATAATGAATAGTAAGTACTTATTGCTAGAGATGAGGTGAGATAGACACATTCTTACATAGTTGCAGAATTGATTGCTGGAAGGGATTTCAGTAATTGATCTGAATAATTTATATATAATTACAAATAAACTTACTAACTTACAAATATTCAAGAGATAGGAGTCCTTCAAATGAATCCTTATGTAATTCAGTGAGGCGATTTTCACTGAGAATTCTGGAAGATAATAAGGTTATTTCTGGACATAAATTCATCAAGCATTGGGAAATATATTGAATAGAGAAATACATTATGGGAAAAGAAAGGCTGTCATTTTCTGTTGTCTAGAGAATATGGTGCCACAACTTTTTTGAAGACAATTAACATTTCATGTGTACCACAGTGTTCATAATAAAATCCTGTTCCTAGATTATTCTGCTGAATGATTTGTCTAGGTTCACAAGGAAGTATGTATGGGGGTGTTCATTGTAGCCTTGAATGCAACAAGCTAACTGGGAATTCTCTAAATATTATGGGAAATAGGAAATACAGCACAAGGCACCCAAACTATGGAATGTTTTGCCAATAATTAAAGAAATAGGTTAATCATCTATGTAAAGTTAAGATTCAAAGCTTATGTTATGAAATGAAAAAATCAACTTACAGTATGTTACCATTTTGGGGGGGGGGTCTGGTCGTGGGGCCTGAACTCTGGGCCTAGGCGCTGACCCTCAGCTCTTCAGCTCAAGGCTATCACTGTACCACTTGAGCCACAGTGCCACTTCCATCTTTTTTCTTATGTGGTGCTGAGGAGTCTAACCCAGGGCCTCGAGCATGCAAGACAAGTGCTCTACCACCAAGCCACCATCCCAGCCCCTTATGTTACCATTTGTATAAAATGTAAAATCCCAGTAAGAACATGATACCACAAACCTTTCTACTATATGTAAAAAGTACAGTAAATACATATGCAAATATAGTAAAATAGTACACAATTGCCTGGGAAAACATCTTTCTACTATACTCGTTTCAGGTATAGTTTTCATTCTGTTATTAACATCAGTTTTATCCACTAAGAATGTAAGCATCCATCCCTTGTACAATAGAGAATGATTTCAACTTGCCGCATACTTAGTTCAAAATGGGTCCATGAAACTTTATTTTGCATCATGGTTGAAAGGCCTCATCCTGCATGCAAGACAAGCATTCTGCCCCTTAACAATACCCCGAGTACCCATAAGCTTGATGTTCAAATAATTGCAGAATTTCAGTCAGGAAAGGTCAATTAGGATATGGAGGGGTATGGCTTTTCTCAGAGGTACTTTCTTCAAGATTCTGGACCAAGGAAGGTCTTACAGTAGTATATATATATACTACTGTATATATATACTGTATATATACTCACAGTTTCTCAGTCCAATGGTACGATGCCCATATATTTTCTTCAGTATAAGAACTACCGTTTCCTTGGAAATTTCTATGGAGAAACAGTTTATATCTAGAAATAAGTAGGAAAAGATTAGAGAAAGAAAAAGTCATTGCAAACTCATGAGGCATAATCAAATGCAGGGAAAAACCCCCAACTTTTTCTACTTTCTGAAGCTATGATTTGCACACCAAAGAAAAAAAAATGGGTCCACTGGCAGGAAAGAAGAGGCTCCTCAACAGAAGCTTAATTTCCTGTCCAATCAATCTCGTGCATGTCTAGTTCCAATTACCCTGGATGTAATTTTCCTGAATCATTTGTGTTTAAACTGACTTCTAAATCAATAAGAAAATGGTAACAGAAAAAGGGACAGATGTATATTGTTGGAAAACAGCAATAAAAACCTCTGTCAGGTAGTACCAAAGCTGTGCTTAAATGCCATTAAGAAGGATGAAGCCTTAGAAGGAAGTATATCTTGGAAAGGTAAGGAATAATAGAAATTAGAGGAGTTAGTATGTTGATGAGGGAAGAGCTCAGAGCCATGTTTCATACAGGGAAAAGCATGATTCATTGAGACAAGAGTTAAGTTTTATTACCTCATCAGGAAAAAAAATGCCAAAGACAGACATCAGAAAGAAGGATGTATGTGAAAATGGTAAGAGGTTAAATCTTATTGGAAGTATGGCATGTAAGATGGAGTAATAAACAGGATAGGGAAGAACTGTATGCTTTTAGATTTTATTCTCTATATATCTATAAATTGTGTATGTGTGTGTGCATGCCCATGCACACAGGCACACACTAGGGATTGAACACAGAATCTTGTGTATACAAGGTTCTGTTACTAAGCTTGGTCATCAGCCCTTGGTTTTTGAGACAAGAGCTGGTAAAGACAAGACTGGCATTGAACTCTAGGCTCTCCTCTCTCTCTCCCCTCTTCTTTCTCTCTCTCTCTCTCTCTCTCTCTCTCTCTCTCTCTCTCTCTCTCTCTCTCTCTCTCTCTCTCTGTCTCCTTCTGTCTCTTCTCCCCCCCATCCATTGTGTCTATTAAGCATGTGTACTACAAAACCAGCTTCTGTGATTTTTTTTTTGAAGCTGGAATGTACATATGAAAACACATGTGAGCAGACACTGGAGGCTCATGCCTGTAATCCTAGCTATCCAGGGGAGTGAGGCCTGAGGATCACCATTCAGTGCCAGCCTGGGAAGGAAACTCTGTAAGACTCATCTCCAATTAACCACCAGAAAACCAGAAGTGGCACTTTGGTTCAAAGTATTAGTGCACCAGCCTTGAGCAAAATAGCTCGGGAATAGGGACCAGGCCCTGAGTTCACTCCCCATTGTTAACCACAACAACAGAAAATAGAAAATAAAAAAAACTAAGGCTAATACGGGTTGAAAAATAAATTTTTTCTGATTCTGTTTGGCCTTTGACTTAGGGCCTGGGTCCTGTCTCTAAGCTTTTCTTGCTTAAGGATAGTCTTCTATCACTTCTGGCTTGTTGGTGGTTAATTTGAAATAAGAGCCTCACAACCCTTCCAACTGAGACTGGCTTTGAATCATGATCCTCAGATCTGAACCTGTTCGGTAGCTAAATTCCAGGTGTGAGCCACCGTTGCTTGGCAAAAGCACATGTTTACTAGGAGCTACTGATACACCTTAGTCTTAGCTATAGTCATTAGTCTTTGCAATCACTCTTCTGCTCAGTTCATATATACTTTGTCTGGTAGTGAAGATTTAAGTCTGCTCATTTGCCTAGTAGACGTTTCCTTTCAACTGCAAGACTTCTGACTGTTTACCAATAAACATGTCCCAAACTGAACTCCTTTCTCACAAACTGGTTTTCCTTCTTGACTACTCTGTTTCTATCACTGTCAGGTTCACTCATTCAGGACAGAAAGTATAGAGTCCTGTTTGGTACACTCATGCCCACACTTTGTCAGTCAGTAATTTTTCTCTGTTGTTCTTTTTAGAGAATGCTACAATTTTGTATTCCCATCAGAACTTCTGTGACTCAGAATCTTCTTGGAAAGCAGCCTCAAATAAAAGCTTGGCAAATGGATACAATAGGAAGATGAGAACAAGGAAAGTGAAGAAGTGAAAAGTTTAAAAGCCAGCCAGGCACAGGTGGCTCATGCCTGTAATCCTAGTCCTTAGGAGGCTGAAATGTGAAGATCTTGGTTTAAAGCCAGCTGGGCAGAAAAGTTCAAGAGATTCTTATCTCCACTAACCACTAGAAAACTGGAAGTGATGCTGTAGCTTGAACTTGTAAAATGCTAGTCTTGAGCAAAAGAGCTCAAAGACAGTACCCAGGTGTCCTGAGTTCAATCCCCTCAACCAACCTAAAAAAATAAGAAAGCCAGGTGCCAGTGGCTCATGCCTCTAATCCTAACTACTCAGGAGGCTGATATCTGAGGATCTTGGTTCAAAGCCAGCCGAGTCAGGAAAGTATGTGAGACTCGTATCTCCAATAAACCATCAGAAAATGGAAGTGGCGCTGTGCCTTGAGATGAAGAGCCCAGAGACCGCGCCCAGGCCCTGAGTTCAAGCCCCACAACCAATCTAAAAAATTAAGAAAACAGTAAAAGTCAACATTACTCAATACTGGATTGGAGAGAGGACGAAGAACTTTAGAAAAGAATGTCAGGCAGAATGCCCAGCACAAAGGAGGTAGGGGGATACTTGCCAGACAGTGAAAAGTTGCTTCGTGGGGTCCATAGCACAGGAACTTGGCAGAGCCTCTGCACTGGGCTGAGATCCACACATGACAGTGTCTGGTTTTGGCAGTGACAGAGCTCACCTAAGTTGATGCTTGAAGGGGCATTCTGTTCAGTTTGCACAGCTAAAGCATTTTCTGTGGTGGTGGTGGCTGGAAATTGAGTCAATGGTTTAACTGTGCCTTGAGTCAAGGTTGGATGCTGAGTTTGCAACCTGTGTGGATGTCCAAGTGTCACTTCACTGTGCTTTGGAGTAGTAGTAGTAGTCTCTATAAATTGTGACACTGGGTGATTTCCTGTTGTTGGAGGTTTAGCCACAGCCTCTAACTGTGGCCTACATATAGCCTGAGTTAAATTTTCATAGTATTAGGCCAATTTGAGGGCTTCCGCAGAGGCTGAGTTGAGGCCTTCTGCCACGGCTGAGTTGGGGTCTTCAGCCAAGGCATGCTTCCAGTCTTCTGCTTAGGCTGAGTTACAGTCTTCCACAGAGGTTTATTTGGCGTCTCGTGCAGGGGCCGAGTTGTGGTCTCCTGCAGTGACTGAGTTGGGGTGTTCTGCAGAGGCTGAGTTGGGACCTCCTGTACAGGCTGAGTTGGAGTCTCCAATAGATGTTGAGTTGGACTTTAATTTCCTGTGCATTCTGAGTTGGTGTCTCTTGCAGGCGTTGAGTTGGAGTCTCCTGCAGATGTTTTGTTGGGTTCTCCTGCAGATGCTGAGGTGGGGTCTCCTCCAGATGCTGAGTTGGTGTCTCCTACAGATATTGAGTTGGGGTCTCTTCCAGATGCTGAGTTGGTTTCTCCTGCAGATTCAGAGGTGGGGTCTCCTGCAGATGTTGAGTTGGTTTCTCCTGCAGATGCTGAGGTGTGGTTTCCTGCAGATGCTGAGGTTTGGTCTCCTGCAGATGCTGAGGTGTGGTCTCCTGCAGATGCTGAGGTGTGGTCTCCTGCAGATGCTGAGGTGTGGTCTCCTGCAGATGCTGAGGTGTGGTCTCCTGAAGATGCTGAGGTGAGGTCTCCTGCAGATGCAGAGGTGAGGTCTCCTGCAGTTGCTGAGGTGTGGTCTCCTGCAGAAGCTGAGGTGTGGTCTCCTGCAGATGCTGAGGTGTGCTCTCCTGCAGAAGCTGAGGTGTGGTCTCCTGCAGATGCTGAGGTGTGGTCTCCTGAAGATGCTGAGGTGGGGTCTCCTGCAGATGCTGAGGTGTGGTTTCCTGTATATGCAGAGTTGTGGTCTCCTGCAGATGCTGAGTTGGTGTCTACTGAAGATGTTCAGTTGGTGTCTCCTGAAGATGTTGAGTTGGTGTCTCCTGTAGATTCTGAGGTGTTGGTCTCCTCTAGATGCTCAGGTGTTGGTCTCCTCTAGATGCTCAGGTGGTGTCTCCTGCAGATGCTGAGTTGGTGTCTGCTGCAGATGTTGAGGTGTGGTCTCCTGCAGATGCAGAGGTGAGGTCTCCTGCAGATGCTGAGGTGTGGTTCCTGCAGATGCTGAGGTGAGGTCTCCTGCAGATGCTAGGTGTGGTTCCTGCAGATGCTGAGGTGTGGTCTCCTGCAGATGCTGAGGTGTGGTCTCCTGCAGATGCTGACGTGGGGCCTCCTGCAGATGCTGAGGTGTGGTCTCCTGCAGATGCTGAGGTGGGGTCTCCTGAGGTGTGGTCTCCTGCAGATGCTGAGGTGGGGTCTCCTGCAGATGCTGATGTGGGGCCTCCTGCAGATGCTGAGGTGTGGTCTCCTGCAGATGTAGAGGTGGGGTCTCCTGCAGATGCTGAGTTGAGGTCTCCTGCAGATGCTGGAATGGGGTCTACTCTAGATGCTGAGGTGAGGTCTCCTGCAGATGCTAGGTGTGGTTCCTGCAGATGCTGAGGTGTGGTCTCCTGCAGATGCTGAGGTGTGGTCTCCTGCAGATGCTGATGTGGGGCCTCCTGCAGATGCTGAGGTGTGGTCTCCTGCAGATGTAGAGGTGGGGTCTCCTGCAGATGCTGAGTTGAGGTCTCCTGCAGATGCTGGAATGGGGTCTACTCTAGATGCTGAGGTGGGGTCTCCTGCAGATGCTGAGTTGGGGTCTTTTGCAGATGCTGGGGTGGTGTCCCCTGCAGATGCTGAGGTGGGGTCTCCTGAAGATGCTGGGGTTGAGTCTTCTTCAGATGGTGAGCTGTGGTCTCCCGCAGATGTTGAGTTGTGGTCTCCTGCGGATGCTGAGTTGAGGTCTCCTTCAGATGCTCGGTTGGGTCTCCTGCAGAGGTTCAGATGGGACTGTCTACATAATTGAATAAAGTTGGTTTTTCATGCTGAACTTGAAGGGGAAACGTCACTTGAGAAGCAGTTGTGGTCATTTTCAGGGATGAAGAATTGTCAGCCTCTG